GCCCGTTCGTCTCCCAGACCATACAGAATAAATTTAAAAGGAATCCAGCTCAAGTCTAGAACGATTTGGCAAGCCTAGATTGCCTTAATTCTATCCATGAAAGTAAGCATTAATAAAAAAATATTGTTCTTGTCTGCTTCAGATTATATTTTGTAGATACTTATTTTAACAAGGAAAATTGTACTGACACCGGCGCTGTCCCTATTGAAGCTATCCATAAGAATTTCGAATTGCCGTCCATTGTTCGATGTCAATACATCGATGACAAGTGAGGATATCATAAAGTAATCGTTGATGCCGCGCTACACTTTGATAAAAATTATAATCAAGTTGACTGGTGTGTACATTACTACAGTGAACATGTACATGATCATGCCCTAATAATCAAATGCCGTAATGTCAAATACTAATTTATTATTGTGTGATGAATTTAACTGGATCAGTGGTAACATGTAATATTAATATTCCATCAATTTCTTTCCTGGTTGGTCCATCCATGTCTACAAAATGAAAATAATACAATTAAAATGGAGCATAGAACCATTCTTAATTTCAGGCTAGAGTTGTGGAAATCTAGACTTTCCCAATCATTATAGACTTGAGTTGGTCTCATGTTTTACATTATTCTCTTGAGTCAACGTCACAGCTCATACCATACACTAACAAGACCAGCTTGCCCCCCGCCGGAGCGCCTGGATTTTGGTTATATCATCTAACATGGCCAACTCTGCTCTTAAGTAAACAAGAACCTAATCAGCGAGGGGTCCTTTGTCATCCCTATGTGGCTGCTTATAAAAATCTGATATCTTTTCCCAAAGACCTGGTTAATAATATATTTTCTGCTGAATATTCGAAACAAATAGAGTGAGTTGGTACTACATGTACATATGTATACGGTTCTATTTTAAATGACTGCAGCGCTCCATTATGAAAACAATTTGTTTTAACGCCGCTCTCAGCAGTATTCCAGTGATATATGACGGCGGTCTGTTGTATATGAAATATATGCAAATTGAATCTTGAATCTTGAAAGTTGTAACATGTCCGTAAATAAGTATCACATGCAGTATACAGTATATCAACTGCAATATACTGTATACATCAGTATACAGAGTGTCACGAGCTCTGCGCTGGGCTGGAGCACACATTTCCTACACCTCTCCCTTCGGCAAACACATCACGAGGGTTGCAACGAGGTCACAGGTCAGGCGTGCACTCGTCAGTTGTCTAATACGGTCAAGAGTAAGATCTTCCGGAAGACCACTGCACTGGAGGTATGTGGATTTTGAGGAGGTACTACGTGTTTGGAACTGGGAGTTGAACACTAAGCACTCACAATAAAACAAAACAAAGAGCTCACAATAAAACGTTATGGACTCGCGGACGGACTTGTGTTTTCATTTCAAGACGTACATTTATCAGGTTGAACTTCCTAACTGTAACAATAACTGAACTTTACGCCTTTTATACACATTTGTGATGGGGCGACAACGAGACATATTTTGACCTTGAAAATGTCGCGTTACGGCATCGTCGCCCTTTTGTAAAATAAAGAAAAGGATTATCAAAGAGCGACAATGCGAACACGCGACAATGCGACAAATGGCCAATTGTCGCGCTTTTGTTCATTTTGACACGTTTTGCTTGTTTTTGTAAAGGCGTCAATGCGACAATGCGACAACGAGACAATGTCCCTTCCATAGTAATCCGTGCAAATAAAACTGAGTAATGAAATAGAAGTCTGACATGCCAGTTAAAAGATAGTGTTGCAGCTTCTGATTTCATAGATCTTCAAGTAGGGTTATCAATAATGGGATGGGTGATGAGTTCAACTGCATACGCTGTGATTAACAATAATGCTCCGAGTCAATACATTTTGTCAAATGTATGACATGTATTACGTGAATGAACATATTGTTTATACTCGTCCATGTTTTTGACGGACAAAATAATTTACATGCTCGGTAAAACTGAGGACGGGCATCATTGTGTGTTTCCGTGCTTTGTTCAGGTGAACAATTGACTTGTCCTTGCATGTTTTGTGACGGGTGCCACTTGTGTGGCAGGATACGCTCACCTTTTCCCGAACACCCATTGGATGACCTGAACCACTTCGGATTTTTATCCCACATCAGTCTGATACACCATGATATAACTGAAATACTGAAATACTGTACAGTTGAAAATGATGTTTAATGCGATTACCGTAGTGTGTTACTGCAACTGTTCATATTTTGTGCAGTGATGTTATGTAATATGTAAAAGAAAGCATATTCAATTATCCAATTGATTTGAATAGAATATACTTGCGTCAGTGTATTTTATTAACGCCCCAAATCGTAATTTAAACACATAAAATAACAGATCACGCATGGTGCCTTGACTTACAACTAGATTTAATGGGCCACCCCGGAATAAAATAGTTCCCCCAAAGCGAGGAACATATGTTTTAGTATGTTTACAAGAAATATATTCCAAACAATATCCTCATTAGATGAGAAGATCTTTTACAGAATTACCTCAGTAAGTCAATTACAATGACAGAGCGTCGTAATACATTTACATCAAGTACAATACGTCAAAATGGCTGACACGATAAACGTGACGGGAGATATTTTCGAAGTTGTTAATTAACCTGTGGCTATTTCAAGCCTTTGGCATCACTGATCAATTGGCCGATCATTGAAAGGTGATTGTGAAGATGTGTCAAATAGATACTAAGGTAAATTCATAGATTTCTGTAAATTGTCACTGCGACAGTTTGGATTTTTTTTCGTGTTTTTTCTCTCTGGGATGGGTTGCAGCAAGGGTATCCTTAAATGGGCTTGCAACCACGCTTATGTATGAATTCGTACCAGGGAATTCCAAGGGTTTTCCCCAGGAATGTGGAAGTAGTCAGTGTTTACGCCTTTTCAAGAATACAGTCACGTGAAGAACGTCATGTGACCGACCTCGCGTCCAAGTCGTATATCTTGTAAACTTCACATTAAAAAATTACTTATTGTTATAACCAAATGAAACACAACCCATTATCCGATAGGGGTAACTGTACATAGCCGTTACAACAATAAACTGAGTAACATTGTTTGGTTTGACTTCTTGGCGCGTGTCTGAATTCCATTAACATGTAACATATCCTAAAACTAGCTTATCAGCAAATCTCGCTGCACTGCGCGCGACAGATACTAGAGCAAGGCATGCCAGAAATACGAAACCTAAAGCTTCCGAAAAGAAGTCTTGGACATCACGTGCGTCGGGGGACCAGCGCCATCTGATTGGCCGTTAACAGTTGTACAAGGCGGAGCAAAAAGCATCGTTTTTCCGTCCATTTTACGCTTGAAAAACTCGACCCTTTTCTGGACACTTTCTAGACGCTGACCAATTAATCAATTTTAATGAATTTTTAGTCGTTTTTCCGTCCAATGACCATATACGGAAAAAAACGACGTTTTCGTGTTTGCAGTGTAGGGCGAGGGTGTGGAGGCGCCGTCATGAACGTTGCGCCCAGTGTTGTGTACAGGAAGTTGACAGATTTCGAGGCGGAAGTGTCATGGTGTGTGGTGCTTTCTGTGGCAATGCACGTTCCAGGCTTCTTGTCATCCGTGGCAACTTCAACGCTGCTGCTTACCGTGACCAGGTACTGGCACCAGAACTTCTGCCTTTTATGGCAGCACATGGACCCGGTTTGATCTTCCAACACGACAATGCCAGACCCCACACAGCAATTTTGACAAGGAATTTCCTTCAGAATGCGGGAGTCAACGTCATGGACTGGCCGTCAAGGTCTCCCGACCTCAATCCCATCGAACACGTCTGGGATGCTCTTGGCAGAAGTCTGCGCACTCTCCAGAACCAACCATAGAATTTGCAAGATCTTGGCACTATTTTGCAGCAACAATGGCGTCGTGTTTCCAATCATGTGTTCACAAGCATCACAAGGTCCAGGCGTTGTGTGGTAGTTGTCAACGCACATGGTGGCCATAGACGCTACTGAACTTGTGTGCCATCATATTCTCGTGCTTGGGACTTATGATTTAAACTGTTGATGTTATTACCGAATACCGTAGGTGCTTGGAAAAAATTATGGTTACCACCGTTAATTAAAATCCTACTTTGGACATAATGATTAAAAATTACCTTTTCTGATACATTTGTCCGTTGTATATCATATATGGGATTACTTTTAAAAATGTGAAGTTTTTAATTTGACTCAGTATATATGGATATTGCAAAGAAAAATAATGAAAATTAACTGTCATGTATATCAATGTTAACGCTCATGTAGGCTGTAGGCAATGTAATAAAACATCTGATATGGCGAACCCTGAACTATTTTCTCTTTGCTTTGTGGACGACCCCCTGGTAATCCCTTTAGGGCTCCGTTAATAATCAGTTTCTCACCGTCCCAGTTATACATCTCTTTGCACGTTTTTTCAAAGCTTATAGTATTTATAAAAATCTCCTTGCTGACATATAGCGTTACGATAAAAGTAAGGAATCGATTGAAATGTAATCATAAGTATCACTAATCCATTTTGTGACACTTAAATCATTCAGATAAGTACTCAACGTTTATAAAGTTTTCTGAAGTTCGTGGAATAAAGAGAATGTCTAAATTCAAATGTTGTTAGCAGCAAGTGAAGAACACAAGTTAAAAACTGTCACAGAAATATCTTCAGTGTCGTATTTCGGTTACATGTGAGTGATTGTTGTTGAGATTAACACCGGAGGAATGAACAACGAAATGTAGGTCGTTGAGGTTATCATTTTGAGGGACAGAAGGATGAGTGAGTTTATGCAAGGTATGTTGTACATGTGGTTATGGAAGTTTTCGAAAATTATAAGATGATCGACCACGAACCTCAATTCCAAGCAGTAAGTGTGTCTGACGTTCAACTCTCTGAGTGTAGTTATGTAACTTTCGCGAACTCATGAAATAACTTAAAGGGTTTTGAATTCAACAACCGAGAAGACGAACAGTCATAACACATAACACCTGGTTTGATGGACTATGTTTTATTCCACTATTGTCATATATGACACACATTATGTCATATAAGACACATGTTATGAAGGAGATTGGGATGTTGGACTGAGCAATACAATACACACAATGCTGTTTCTGACATTCACTCGTTCATAAAATATTTTGAATTTTTCAGGAGTGCCGAATCGAACGATGTTTATATTCAGCAGTTTGCTGTTGATCCCTCAAAGATAAAATGATTGCTGTGTTCCTTTTGAGGACAGGATCCGGCCGTTGGCTTCGCTCGATCTACGAAAAACATAAGCAATGAAATGAATCGTACATTCAAATCATAGTTCCCTTTTAACACGTTCACATCTTAAGTACATCACACAGATTTCTAGTGAACTGAAATGAACTTCTTAACCGATCTGAATTAATTATGCTTGTTCTACAGTGAAAAAGTTGGATTTAACGTCCGTTGAATAGCAGAATTTTAGTTTTCACATTGCACGTCATAAATCAGCTTGCTCTAGATATTACTACTTAGATGCACGCCACGAACACGCGCATAGACACGAACGAAAGATCATAACTATGGCGAAATTCGGAATGAAATCAACGCTACATTAACAACAGAAACCATAATTTGAATATGATGACATATTCTCACTAGATTTACGCCTGAATGTCAAACATATCACCATACATTTACCTATATATGCCATATGATTTAATATGATAAATACATCTGTTATGAAAGTCATTGTTTGAAGCTAGAAAATATTGAGTACTACATCCCTGTCTAAATATTCGGATCACTGTACTGATTCAGTTTTGACCCTCTGATGACATATAACGTGATTAGGAAAGGCTATATCCACAGGTCACAACTTACGTGTGGTGGTATAACGTTTGTACACAGAATGACTCCTTTCGCCAGCTAAATTACAGTAGCCGAGTCAGAAATCTGCAACACAAAGCAACCATTTAAAAAACAGATACAGAAATTCGGGCACCTAGAAAACCGCATTTAAATCATAATACGCTTGGAATGAAATCGTAATTTCACTTATAATTCTAATTTATAACTCAGTAAAGTTGATAGACATCATTGTTAAGGTATTGTTATACATTGGCATAGATGTATTCAGCAGGTTGCTGTTGATCCCTCAAAGATAAAACGATTGCTGTGTTCTTTTTGAGGACAGGATCGTACATTCAAATCATAGTTCCCTTTTGAACACGTTCACATTTTAAGTACATCACACAGAATCTTTGTTAACTGAAATGAATTTCTAAACCGGTCTGAATTAATTGTTTGTTCTACAGTGAAAAAGTTGGATTGAACGTCCGTTGAATAGCAGAATTTTAGTTTTCACATTGCACATCATAAATCAGCTTGTTCTAGATATTACTACTTAGATGCACGCCACGAACACGCGCATAGACACGAACGAAAGATCATAACTATGGCGAAATTCGGAATGAAATCAACGCTACATTAACAACAGAAACCATAATTTGAATATGACATATTCTCACTAGATTTACGCCTGAATGTCAAACATATGACCATACATTTACCTATATATGCCATATGCTTTACATGATAAATACATCTGTTATGAAAGTCATTGTTTGAAGCTAGAAAATATTGCATACTACTTCCGTGACTAAATATTCGGATCATTGTACTGATTAAGCTTTGACCAACTGATGACATATAACTTGATTAGGAAAGGCTATATCAACAGGTCACAACTTACGTGTGGTGGTACTAAGTTTGTACACAGAATGACTTTTTTTCGCCAGCTAAATTACAGTAGCCGAGTCAGAAATCTGCAACACAAAGCAACCATTCAAAAAAACAGATACAGAAATTCGAGGACCTAGAAAACCGCATTTAAACCATAATACGCTTGGAATGAAATCGTAATTTCACATATAATTCTAATTTATAACTCAGTTAAGTCGATAGACATCAATGTTCAGGGAATTGATATACATTGGCATGGATACTGACCATACTGGATCATATTGAACGTGGGGTGTCTGGTAGCGAACTAGTTATATCACGTAATAATGGATTAATGAATAAGAATCTATCACATAATAACAGTGTTTACGATCATTAACCACAAAATGTTGAATTATGACTAGCGACATTATTGCAAATTATGATTAATTCTAATTCATGCACGTCTAAATTATGCACGTTGTGACCATCACCTGAAAAAATAAAAAGGAAAACATAAGTAAACAACACATATTATATCACCGTCACGTGTAGATAGAGTAGCACAAATTCAGGCAAATGCAATTCAGTGTTATTGGCAAATTCAAGAAACACACATAAATCATATACTCAAAACAAAATGATATGAAATGATGATATGAACACGAGTGATGTTGATGAAAGTTGAAAAATGTACAAGTGGATTAGCAAACATTGAAATTCATACATTGAATGCATAATACAAATAGCAACAGTTGAATATTGTATTTTTATGTCTTTCTAATTGCGTAATCCTTCGAATAAGAAAAACAATTAACATCAGCACCAACATGCAATGCCCTTTGTAAAACGAGTAGGGTGGGATAGATGAGCAGAGGGATGTGTGTGTTAACCTTTGCCGGATAGATAACAATTTAAGATCGAGTAGTTCGAATTATTCAACCACTTTCACGTGGTACGAGGTATAAAAGCTATACTCTCCCGCATTCGACATATTTTAAACGAACGTTTACATGATGGGTTAACAACAGTTTCGGTGTCATCAGTGAAAGAGACAAAGAGGGGTCTACAGTATACACTTTATGATGTTCTCATTACATTACATTAACTATATAATGCATCTTTGGAATCAGTATCATAACTGCTTTACTGGATTAGTGTCATTTTGATACATAGTAGAAGAAATGTAATTATTACTTGATATCGCATATTTTAAACTCACCTGTTTCGCAGTGCAGCCCCGTAAATCCCGTCGGACAATGACACGTCCCTCCCTCAATAATACCATGGTTTTGACAGGGATCTAATAAAAAGATAATCACACAAGTTCAATCATATAAAATGAATGAATGTCAACTAAAAAATCATTATGTTCTTACTTCGAGATTGATCTTTAGTCATATTAAAATTATACATTCAATCAAAGATAGCGTGAAAAACCTATTCATCACATCGTTATCTGACATGCACATTCTTACCACACGTAGGTTCCTTGAAGGGACTGTCACACAGACAGCTTGCTGTGTCGTTTTTCTCCAGGATACATGCACCATGAATTTTATTGCAGCCTTTGGCCGAGCAGACATCTACAAACGAAAATGACGTAAATGAATATTTCGAAGACATTTTGATCGTTTTATACTTGATGATGGGCAAATGTAATCTCAAAATAAAAGTCATCATGTTTCCAAAACACTTTGTAATACCTGTATGTTCATTGTAACAGATTTAAAAAATAAGGTAGATCTGCTTCAAACCTGTTGGTGGTGTTGGTTTGGTGGAATAGCATCTTGGTTGTTCTCCTTGCCTATTGAAGAAAAGGAAAATGTGTATGCCATAATCTATGTTCAACCAGTGGTCACACCATGATACGGGTTAAACACAGTGAAGACCTGGTGGTTGTCACCATAAAACCGGCCCGATTCAAAGGGTTATATTAAAATCACGGATTCATGTAGATCAATGATATTCTGTACATTCTACTTTGGGCTGAGTCGTTTTGATTAATATGATTATTTTGTAGAAGGAACCCTTCGTGATTCAGGTGTTTGATTGAACGTACCTAGCTTTGAGACAGACTGTCGATGGATGCTGAGCAATCGCAGCAGGTACTGATACATCTGTGATACAGTCGGTCCAAGTTGTATCCTTTCTTGTAGGGAAGACATTTGCCGTGCTTGTATCTGTAGTGACTTGCGGGCTACATATGAACATACCAATATCAGCAAAAAAACAACCCGTATACATTGGACTAGGACGCGCTAAGGAGCATGTTATAGATACTCTCACTGTTCCGCTTTTAACATTTCATACACATGTACCTGGTGAAGATTACTTTTCTCAAGTATACTTCAGGGTATGACGATCAATTTGGGATAGCCAAACAATGGAAGTGTCATTTCGTCACGTTTGAAAGTCGTTTTAGTGAAGTGTTATCAAATGGGCAGCCAGGTGTATTTGAGTAAGTATGCTGGAACACGAATGAGTGAGTGAGTTGGGTTTTAACGCCGCTTATAACAGTATTCCAGTTATATCGCCGCGTGTCAGCTTAATGTGGGAGGAAAATCCGAAGTGATGCAGGTCTCGGCGTTTATTGTCTATTTATACTGGGATTAAAGAAGCTACATACCATTGACCGCCATTATCAGGAAGTGTATGTAGTATCATGTGACAGTCCTTCCCTTGTGAACATCGTATGGTGCTCCCGGAAACAGGGGTCGGGTCATGGAAACTATCCTGTAGCGAAGAGTACATAGTGTTACAATATAAGGGTAGCGCTATTTTTCAGGGCATTATCATTTGCAGAAGCCAGAGGTCTTCCATGAAAAGACCGACGGCTTCAGCAATTATTATGCCCTGAAAAATAGCGTTACCGTTATTATAGCTAAAATGGATGGAATTTTGTATCAAATAAAAAGAACAACAATATCGGTTTGGAAACATTTACTGCAATCAACACAAATGTCACTGACCCACTTTTTCAAATATGGAAACGTCATAGAACAAACCAGATGACGTCACTATTTAAAGTGACGTCACCTATGCCTACCCTATGACGTCACCCAACAACGGGCGTGATAATGGCCCGTCGTCAAGCCATATGAGGGCATTATCAAGTTACGGTGGACCGCTGATTCTTGATAACATGCGGGCGGTTTACTGATAATTCTATTCATTTTAGCTATAATGTACATTAACATACAAAGGATAAACCTTGGGTATATATCAGAAGATATTTTAAGAACGAAATCAGGATACCTTTGTGATATGTCGAAAATGACCCAGCATGCATTCTACTTCGAATTGAACGCTCAGTGTTTCGCGCGGAAAACTCACCTTTAACACTGGTGTTGTTGTTCCTGAAACGCACAATTTATAGTAAATCAAGTAAATCATATGTAGGATCTACTAGTATTCATTCATACCAGTACGTTTGATAGCAAAACGTTTACAGAGTTTAAGATCTCAGATTTATGTTTTGCATGTGAGTTTTCCATCTCGACTAATTTGTGAAGTTATCTTTGAATTAGACATAAACAGAAGGACAAATTTGTATTCTGATTGATATTCCAAATACAACCGATCAGATTATTTAACTCTGTTATGATAAATGCACTTAAAATGATACTCTCCTTCAATTACAGACACACTTTTGCTTTACAAAGTTGTTTTTATCAATATTTACATACCTACACGTTTCAAATGTATGTCTTGCATTGTATTTTGTTGGACGAGCATACTGGCTATTGTGTTGTGTGACTTCAAACAGTCATGGTCGAATTATTTAAATTGGATGCTTGTCTGTAATTCAATATACTATAAGTGACAATCGTTACTAATTTCGTTATGTGGGAACTGCATATAATTAGCATTGTTTGACACCATATAAATAAATCTTTAGTTACTATATATCTTACCAGTGTCAGTAACGTGAAGATGGTAGCAGACTGTATCGGCATTTGCGCTGTAAAAAATTTAATATTGATAATAATCATAAATGTATACATGAAAGAACCAAACAAAATCACAATATTTGTAACTAAGAGATAAGTTGTATTCACGCATTGCTTGCATTCTGTCAGCCTTCTGTAACCACTGCAGAACAAGGAATGCTGTCGTCAGAAAAATACGTTACATCCATGGGCCTTGAAAGTGTCTCTACTTTAACCCAAAGAAATTCCTGTCAATTCATTAACAGTGGGCATTGACTGTACCTATCGACATCCGTAGTATCGCTTCCAGTTTTGACACACAATTTTTTCTCGCCAACCTCGGTTGCTGTAATGTGCATCTGACTCGTGTATAGGTCTTGACGTCCTGGCGTGTCCGTATCCTTTGCTGGGAGATCTGGCGACTGGACGGTTAGTCCATTACTGTGAGGGCCAACCTTAATCACTGGAGCTGGTCTGGATGAGAATAAGGACAATGATGCAAGCTAATTATAATACATTGGTATACTTGTCTTGATACAGAAACTGATTGTGAAATATACTGGTATGAATGTTATACTGTATACTTATCATACACTGTTATAGACTGCATACAATGAGTGAAGCCCATTTCTGGTGTCCCCCGCCGTGATATTGCTGGAATATTGCTAAAATCAAACTCACTCGCTCACTCATAGACGGCATTATAACATTAGGGGTGTATGGGAAACAGTCTTAATCTGAATAACTCATGCATTGATCATCCTTTCAGCGGGCATGGTAGCCAAGTGGTCTGAGTCGCCGCAATTCGCGGGCAGCGTTATATTCCTTAGGCGTGCCACAAATCTATGAAAGTGGGTTCGAATCGCAGTATCGTCCTGATTATGTTTCTGGGTTTGTAGGCACCAAAACCATGGTTTCACCAACGTGGCAATCGTCTAAGACCTGAAACACTTTGGGATTTCCTCACATGTGAAGCGGACATGCCATGATATAACTGAAATACTCATTAAGTAGGCGTTAAACCCAACTCACTCACTCATTGGTTTAGCCGCACACACACACCATCCCTACCAACTGATCCCACAATCAGACATAGAAATACCACTGTAGTAGTTGTGTTACCCTTGTCCTTTCGAAATGGAGAGAGGAATTGTGCAGGTCTGATCTTTCACACAGTTGAAAACTCCGCCATTGTTTATGCTTGCACCGGTAAATGTAGGCTTCATGAAATAGAATCAACCATGTTACAAAAGTATTCAGTTGTTTCAGAAGGAAAGAGGGTATAGGCTACATTAAACTTACTTACTACCGAGCATAATTTTTGTTTCACAGGGAATTACATATCTGATTCTTTGTGCAACAAAGTAACGTAACGTTATTGTTTTGAAAAAGAATAAATGAATATTAAAGATATGTTTACAGAAACTGAAAAAAATATATCACCTTCTGATGAAGAGGGACGTGTATGCCTGAAACAAAATTTTAAAATATAAATAAATAAAGTCAAATATCAAATGATGCAGAGATTACAGACAGGTAGTATCGTTAAAAATATAATTGTACAATTTCATTGAAGATTAATATGTTTGCCAAATCCTCTTAAACGATCGCTTAAGTGTTCTTGTTATGCAAAACAGTTGCTAGTATGTACTCCCTGGAGAGCCTATCAAACTTCGACTTTTGAGATGTGTACCTGTCTCACAGTTGACGCCAGTGTAACCTATGGGACAGTGGCATATCGGATTCTTCCCGTCGTTCTCACATGCTCCATGGTTCTGACATGGGGATGACTTGCAGGGTGCCTCTGGAGTGTACATTCATGTATACATTTCACAAAATGTAATTCTTATTACATTTCGGGTCTGACAAGTGCTTTTAAATTAGTTTATCATCTCGATGTACTCATTTCTGACTCTTTATAACGTAGCATGCATATACACTGTAGAATGGAAGAATAATGTGCTCCGAGTTACTGTATAACAGTGATATATATTCGTAACATATATGTAACTATAATGTAATATTATTGTAATGTAATATTATTGTAATCTTATGTCACATATATGCATATACGCTTAGATACCTTTGTTACAACTGTCTCCCGAATGGACATCGTCACACAAACACGTGCTGGTGTGGTTTGTCTCGACAATACACACACCATGACCACACGACGTTACTGCACAAGGTTCTAGAACAGAAAATAAAGAACATACACCGGCATTGTCTTTTCAGTAAAGATACACGTTCTATTCTCGTGCTGTCAGTACAAGAAACGTTCTTGCTGTTTGTACCTGTAACACTAATGAGATGGATATTTATCTTTGATGGAAGAGTTTTAGTTTGATCCCTTGCCTGACATTGAATTAACTTACTGGATGCGTCAGGATCAACTTTGAAACAGCGAGGTGGATCACGCGACCTGAAAAAAGTAATCGATTTGTCTTAAATATGTTACAAGTGACACGGCAGCAATGAACAAAGCACTGAGAACATGCTATGGAATAAGTGCCCCACAGTCTGGTAGTAAGCTGAACTGATTAAAACAGTAATACACTTGTGTTCAAGATTCTTCGCAGAATGTCCAATAGCGGTTCAGAAACATCAGGCATGACTCCTTCCAGTACAAAGACATTAATACCTTGAGTTTAAGCATATCTGATGATCCCCTGTCTTGGAGTCGGGTGTTATGAGGACATCAGTAGCGCACGTCCCTGTGAGCGGCTTGGTAGGAAAGATATGTGTCTCTACGCCTTCCGTACTCCCATAACTAACCTGAGGACTGTAAACACCGAGTTGAACTGTTCATATTGTAATAAAGAGCACCAATAGTTACGCCTTTCAATCAAGCTTTTTGGTAACTTTAAAACAACAAAATGACTTAATTTGGATTTCCAACGTTTAAATTTCTTTTGACAAAGAACTCTTATCATTCTTAGTAAATTGTCTATGTTATGCAATTAAAGTAATACATAAAACGAAAGGGTCTGAGTCTTAGATTTGTTTTTAACCATCAAAGAAGATACAATTTAAACATATTGGGCTCTCTCAAACCAAGCTGTGTCTGGGCCAATATTTAGACGATAAGTATAAACGAGAACATTTAACAACATGTAAACGTACCATTTGTTCCCTGTAGTTGGTTTGGAGTATACTAATAGGTGACAGTCGTCGCCAGCAGCACACGGAACTGTGCTCCCATCTGTGGGAGTTGGAGCTTCGAAGTGGTCCTGGAAAATACCACGGCTTAATTTGTATCCATCCGAAACATGGAACACTTTTAAATCATTTTACATTTAACGATGGATTATGTTAGTTATTCTACAAATATCGCATCTAGGTTCGATTGTTGACAGTATAAGCAACGATCATGCATTCGTGGTGCGATGACACAAAATCAGCCAGTTCACACATCTCAACCATCCGATTTCTATTTTCCACGGCTCATAGAATGTATGTCTAGTGTAGGGCACTTGTCACCTGTACTGTCCCGGAATCATCAAGCGTGCTCTCATAGCTTTGACTTACTGTGCTTGAAGTTGTTCCCGATCCTGATCCTGAACCATCACCTCCTAAATTAAATTTAAATAGACGCTGGTTACTTGACGTAGATGAACACTAGTACAATGCTTATACATTTTGACAATAACCAGAGTCGGAGTTCCAATATTATACCACATAATTTATGTTTACTTGGAGGCATTAAAATAAAACATGCCATGGCATTTAAAGGTAATGGAAATAGGAGTCAATATCATCTTTGATGCCCTGAATGCAGACGGTACAATAATGTACCCAACACAAAGTCTGATAATGGAAGATTGGTGAATAGCATAAAGTTTGATGACATGACGTTGTGAATCTCCGGTATTCAACGTGCTTATGGCCTGGTTGGCAGTAATACATCGTATTGCGATTTTACATTTTGAACATAATGAGCCCCAACCCTAAAAACCACTGCATCTTAACACTGACCCTTTATGATTAAAGCAATTAAAAGTTGTAGCTTTGTCATATAGGGGTATCTGCGAGTTTATGCGTGTCAGGTATAAAACCTAACGAGGGACGCATAACACCACAGATACTTTTAGTATAAGTCTTTACAATAGATTTTAATATTTAATAATAGATAATAGTACCTGGTGGCGTCACGTTGACATGGTAACAAGTAACCTGATCGCTGGAAAATAGAACATCAGCGAATGTGTGAAAAAGTAATATATTGTTGTTGATGTAAATATAATTATCCGACAATGGTATTGTAATACACGATTCGCGTATTTCCATATGTGTCCAAGGCGTGCAACGTGATATATGTATATGTAAGAGAAATAATTACTGTCCATTAATTTTCACGTTATGCATAGCAAAGGTCAAGTAACAAATAGCGTGCGCCTGATTTGGCATGCAATCTTTATGGGATTTGTGAGATTTTTTTTATTATCACAAAGGCCTTAGTGTATAAGTACTAGATTTGTATTAGAACAGATACAACACGCAAACAGATTATCTATCTTCCTGTCGATACACGGTCATTATATTATTTCTACCACTTATGATTAATCACGATATCTCGCTTCCGAATAATGTTACATTTAGATAGTGAAACATAACATGTATCACACATACACACGCGCATGCACGTAAACGTACAAAGTGAGTAATACATTTGCTAACGTACGTGTATGCTATTCCTAGTAAAATCCTGGATATTTTTTTATATTTGTATATTTACTGCTTGTTCTAGTTACTAGTGTTCAGAGAAAAGAGCTGTGTGAAGGTCTTTGCTTGAAGAAGCTGCTCCAATTAGCTGAGAGACCAACCCATCACGCAGCTCCCACGTGACCAAAGGAAGTGACGTCACGGAACCTCACATTACTCTGGAGTCGGAAGGCATCGTGGGGAGGTAGATCTGCGATGGGTGGATCCCTTTAGACGCAGTAATGCAGGATAAATATACAAATATAAAAAATATCTAGGATTTTACTTGACATTTTACTTATCCTGCATTACTCCTTAATGCATCCTTATCGGACGGAACCGGAGGAGGGCATACCTTCAGATGTGGACTTTCATCTTTATTTCAAGACTCTGTACCCTAGCCAATCCTTGGCAATGTGGTCGGCTTCGGTGACCACTCCATGTATGGGAACCTCCCATTCCCTCAGCCCGTCCTCGGCTGTGGTCGGCTTCGGGTGGCCACTCCATGAATGGGAAACTCCGTCTCCCTCAGCCCGTCTTCGGCTGTATGGTAGGCCTGGATGGCGATTACATGGAAGGGAAGAGAGTCAGGTATGCGTTGTGTCCTGGTACTGCGCAGCCTGACAATAACGATCAGGTAGGTCGAGACTTGAGCCATATGCAAATGAGGCATGAACTCTCTAGTCAAAGGCTTACACCATGGGAGGTCGAGAGGCCGGCTCTGCTCTTGGAGGCGTGGTCAATGACATGTAGTAGTGGTGACCTGTTGGGCCACTACTAACGGATCTAGGCTGTGCACCTCCAATGCGACGTCTCGCCGGTAGAGGCTGGCGAAGAACGTGTTGGATCGCCAGAAACATCCCTCCATGATGGCGCGTAGAGGGCAGTTGGTGTGTAGCGCCATGGTTGAGCGACCTAACCGGACATAGACAGAGCTCTAGTTCGTCTTCCGCGCCCACAATCGACGAAAGGGGTGGGGTGGGGATGAGGAACGATCTAGCGGGCTGGCCTCGGAGCTGATTCTTTGCAATGAAGCTCAAAGCGGACCCGTGTGACGTCCAGGGCGTGTAGCTCAGTGACACACTGCTATGGCGAGCGCCAGTAGGAAGACCGTCTTTTTCGTCTGATTGTAGAATGACAACGTTTCGAGTGGCTCGAAAGGCGCGTCTCTCAGAATGACGTTCAAGTCCCAAGCTGGGGGACGGAACTTCGCCTTTTGGTCTTCCAGTCTGAATGAGCGGAGCAGTGCCTGGAGTTCCTGGATTTTCGTCATGCGTCGATCTTTCGGAACTGCCAGGGCGGAGTTGAGTGCCTCAAGGTAGGTCATGATGGTAGTGCCCTTGAGCTTACGCTTGTGACGCAGATGGAGCATGAACTCGACCACGAATTGAGGCGATGCAGATGTGGGGTCTCGTTGCTTGCCCCTCTCGAAGGATTGCCACTTGTCATCATAGAGGCTCCTAGTGGTTGGGCGATGTGCCATCGAGATGGCCCTATCCGCTCTGGCCGAGTAGCCTTTGGCGTTCAGTGCTCTATGTAAATGGACCAGACGTGAAGACATAACCTGTCTGGTCCTGGGTGCGGTTGTCTGCTGTGAGGGTGGATCAGCAGATTTGGCAAATCTGGGAGTGGCAGTGGGTTGGCGTCGGACAGTTCTCTGAGGTCGACGAACCAAGCCCTTGCTGGCTACCAACCCCCCACCAAAGTCAGATCGAGGTTCCGTGTCGATCTGATCTTCTGGACGGAGTACAGGTGGCGGAAAAGCGTACGCTTTTAGACCTTCCCTGGGGACGCTGAAAGCGTCGACTGCCCATACCAGCGTATCCGGGAACGGAGATATGTAGTTCGGGATCTGGTAGTTCTTGCTGGTGGAGAATAGGTCCGTGTGACCGTGGTCTCGACAAACAAGAGCGAAGGCGTCTGGGTGAAGTTTCCACTCTGTGGAAGCCACTTTGCCTGGGCGAGATAGAGCATTCGCCAGGATGTGTTGAACCTGGAACTGAATCCCCAGATGATCCACCAGGTGAAACAATTCAACGTCTGTTGAATGAGCGAGGTCGAATGAGTCGTTCCTTGGTTCTGAAGGCGCCATACGACGGTGATGTTGTTCGTTGAGATGGAGAGCCGGGCGTGTCTGAGGGCCTGCTTCCAGTGAACGATGGCCAAAATAAGCTCCTCCAGTTCGAGGTTGTTTATGTGCCATAGGAGCTGATCGGCGGACCACAGCCCCGAGGCGTCCTGTCCCTCCAGGTGTGCGCCCCATCCCTGCAGGGACGCGTCTACGAATAGGCGCAGAGAGGTCGTAAGCCCTGTCAAGGAGACGCCGCCTAAGACATTCGATTCCACCGTCCACCACCGGAGATGCTGCTTGAGTTGATCCGGGAGGACGATGGATACTGAGGCGTCCTGGGCCTGATGTAGGGAGCCAGGAACATCTGAACAGGGCGCAGTTGAAGCCTTCCTCTGTAGGTCAAGTCCTGTGCTGAGGTTAGGAGGCGCAGGAGGACTTGCCATTGACGCAGAGTGCGTGGTAGGTGGAGAGCTGGAGTCAGGTGCGCCTACATGCGCTCCCATTGGTCTCTGGGTAGAGATGAGGTCGAGGTCCGTCTGGAAGAGGACCCGATGACTTGAAGGCGATTTGAGGGTCAACTCTGAGGTTGATCTCCCACCCCAACTGGTGTAGGAGCTGGAGGGTGAAGTCCCTGTGGCGTAGTAGAGTGACAGTGTCCCGATGGTTGATTAGGCAGTTGTCTATGTAGGTCTATGTCTATGAAGGTGAAGCGGAGGAATTTCCGGTCGTCGGGATGTATATGGACATATAGATAGGCGTCCTCGATATCCAGGCTGATGAGCACCACCTGCGCCTGGATCCGGGGTCGCAGTAGCCTGAGCGTTATCACCCTGACATAAGGTGGACGCGCCAGGTAGCGTTTGTTGAAAGCTGTCACTCTGACGTGAAGACGTACTTGGGGAAGCCGAGTCCGTGGAGTAACGAGAGGTAGAAGGCGTTTGTGAGGTCGGCCGACGCGGTGGAGGCAGAGGCGCAGGTGTCTGTATAGGCGCTGTTTAGATAGGCGCCAGCTGAAAGAGCGCTTAAGGAGGCGTCTGCAGAGGCGCTATTTGAGGTCTGACATCGTGCCTGGCCTGCTGTGTTCTGCGTTTTTTACCTACACGGAGGTACTGACTGAAGGCTGTGGGTGAAAGCAGTAAACAGTCTTTACAGCGGTGAGGTATTGAGATGTACAATTTAGGCACAGGGGGTGGGGACCTCACACCGACATATTACGCCGGCACTTTGAGCAGGAGGACATGATATCTGCAATGAAGCAGTGTAAAACCACAATGCGTCCCCACCCGATTATGTATGCTATAATTTGTTTATCCCATTGTGTGGGTTTATGAAACAAATATTTCGACAAATGTAAGACAACATACAACAAAACAAACAATACTTGCGAGGTTACGCCAATCGTGGGGTACCAAGCAAAAAGAATATAGAACGCAAACCAGTTCATTCACTGCTGGCCACGTAAAATATTCAAGATGGCTACTTGGAACAACAAGACACCTGGCATTATGTTTTCTTTTAAGAAAACGCCAGTAAGTGTCTAACAATGTTATGCACAGGTTTATCAAACATAGAATGTACAAAAGACAAACCGTAGGCACAACACAAAGACAAAAATCATTAACTCAAATAGCAAACACGTGAGGGTTTGAATCATTTTATGATACAGAAAAAAACAGGTCTTCTCTCATCAAGTGACAAGCGTAATGTGGGGATCCGTGACGTCACTTCCTTTGGTCACGTGGGAGCTGCGTGATGGGTTGGCCTCTCAGCTAGTTGGAGCAACTTCTTCAAGCAAAGACCTTCACACAGCTCTGTTCTCTGTCAAGAACAAGCAGTAATATTCATTCAGGAGTAATGCAGGGTTAGTAAAAAAAAAAGTAGTTTATAACGCAAAGTGATTCAGTTGAAAGGGAGACTACGCACGAGCGAATTTGCATTCCTAGCAAGTTCATTCTAGTCGTTAATTCCACTTTTTATGCCTGCGAACTCAATTCTTTTATGGTAACCAAGCAGTTTAACAATTAATGATTGCCTTAATTACACAGAAACTATGCCTCAGTTTAACATACGGCAATAATTACACACGTCGAGACAAAGACCAGAAATAGGCACCTGATTAATTCCCCCTTACAACTCATCTCAGTTACATACAATTACATGGCGTTCTACCTGCGTGGCTGTCCTGACGTTGTCTGGATGCAGACATTTTCGTTACCGGTCGCTGTAGGTGTTACCTGAACACTGCCTTGGTTAAGGTCGGGCGCTGTCGTGCTTGCTACAGGTTGTGTTATGTTCACATGTAAGCCATTGCTAGTGGGACCAGGAGTCAACGTTTCATGAGCACTATGAAAGAATAATAACTTCACAATCAACTCGTGTTTATGAAATCAAACGTTATACAATGATAATGTGACAAACACATTTTACAATTTCATATATTTGCATTTGTTTGCAGTAGAAGAGTGAAAGAGAAGGGTAAATCATCACTGCGGAGGGCATAAAACACGTTTTTAAAATACGAATAATTGGAACAGAACCCGAGTTAGTGAGTGAGTATGGTTTTACGCCGCTTTTAGCAATATTCCAGCAATATCACGGCGGCGGACACCAGATATAGGCTTCACACCTTGTACCCATGTCGGGAAACGAACCCGGGTCTTCAGCGTGACGAGCGAACGCTTTAACCACCAGGCTACCCGGCCGCCCCAAATAGAACCCGGGTCTTCAGCGTGACCATCGAACGCTTTAGTCCACACATTACACACTGTACATCACTCATGTACATTGAAGTTACATTGAAGTAGAAGACTTGTTCCAATAGTGTGTTCTTACCCTGGGCCCCTGGTAAATACCGGGATGGAACATGTTACTCCAACGTGACACTGTAGTGTAGCACCATTGTGTAATGTTGGTTCTGACACCTGGGCCTGTAGCGAGACAATTATGAACACTTAGAACCTCGTCATCAAATCATACATCATTCATAAAAGTTAAAATGTATAATATTTTTATAATGTAACCAATATTGTTAAAAGCATGTGGACACACCAAGATAAAAGAATGGCAATGACGGTTATGTTCCACACTTCATAGTATCTCCTTCCAAAGTTGACACGATTGATGGATAACAACTTCTGTAATACTGTAAAACCAACGTTTCGGTATAGATCCTTATACCGTTGTCAAGCGAGACATTATCGTGGGCTTGCTTGACAACGGTATAAGGATCCGTCAACTTCTAAGTAATACCTATCAAACAATTTATCTCTTTCCAGTTACTGTCATTGTTCACAAAAAAAAATAATTCTGTATTTTGGTGTGTGTGTTTAGCATTGTCATTGTTAGTACATTCATTTCCGCACGGATGCTTGTGTATAGGGCACATTTGACAATATTTAATATGATAATATGATCTTTGTTTTGATAATATACTTACTTCCGAGGTGTGAGAAAGAGCTGAAAACAAAACAAAACAAAGACAGCTTAAATAATATAATATTTACGTATACGTTCTCAATTATGCTCTTTGATCAAAACTATTTCAATTTGCCAAATGCTATTATTATTTGTTATGTTTGGTCTTACCTGTTTCACAGTCGTGTCCTATGTAGCCTACAGGACAAAGACATTGATGGGACGTCACTTGACTAACGCAATCGCCACCATTTTGGCATGAGTTTGGGTAGCATGGGTTAGCTGTGGGTAATACAATCAGAGATTAAAACATATGCGGTATCTATCCTACTTTGCTATGTGCATTATAGTAGCCGTTAATCTACCCCCTCAATTAATGGTACAGCAACAAAAATCTATGTTGATCAACAACATTTTTTAGGTTTCATGAGTACTACAGGAAGTTTTAAAATAATGAAACATCTGTTATGTAACTCACTTTGTTGACATATATCTCCTGTGAAATCTTCTGTACACACGCATTGGTAGCCGGGAGACTGCTGTGGTTGATTTGCACAACCACCTTCGTTGTTACAAGGGTTGGGGTCGCACATGTCTGTAAAGATTTCTGCCTCAGGAAAAAACTTCCAACGAGCGAGTACAATTTACGTATATTCAATCATTGTCATGAAGACTGTTTGTATTTTCCTTGATGTTCTATAATATCATATGATTTCAAGGATAATTCACATGTGAACCATCAATCTAGGAACATGGAAACTTAATCCCTTTCTGCCAGTATTTTTAAGTGACTGCTACACAGAAACGGAATGCTGTTCCAATTGCCCTTGAAACATCCTCCTTTTCACTTGATAGTTTCAAGTCAAGACTTCAAACATTTTTGTTTGACAATTCGGTCTTTTAACTCTACTGTTCAATGAGTATTGTCAGCGCTTTGAGCATGAATTGTTGCGTGTAACTAAGAACATGATAAGAATGCTCATTATTATTATTATTATTATTATTATTTACAGATTAAAATAATAAATGCAGCAAAGAGGGTTTGGGTGATCCTGGCAGTCAGGCTGGTTAGGCTCATCTTCAGCTTAGGGCCCTTGCCCCCTCTTCACGCAGCCCAGACAGCGAATGGGTCATCTCCCAGGAAGCACTGCCTAGTCAAACCCACCCAGAACTTTCATGGAAGCAAACCCGGGTACTCTCCCAATGTCAGTCAACAGATTGGGAGGTACCAAACCTAAGGCACCGAGAACAATGGGGAGTCGGACAACTTGGAACTAGGAGCGTGACATTTCAAAAGCGAGTTCCGCATATTTGCCATGTTTTTCCTCAATCTTGACAATCACATTAGTGTCAAAGGGGACAGAAAATTCAATGATAGAAATCATTTCATTGGATTTATCAAAAAGGGCAAAATTGTATTTATCATTTTCCATGACGCCCTCTACATATTGGAGTTTGTCCCCATTATTATTATTATTGTTATTATTATGATTATGATTATGATTATTATTATAATGGAAACTGCTATGGTCACTCGATCAATATGAAAAGTAAAGAATCCTTAAAATGCTATACCTGTTGTTATGACGTTCACTTTGTAACATCGTTTCTCGCCCTGATAGCTGTAATCAAATATTTGAAATTAATATCGAAAGAATCCACGACAGAGTGTGCGAGCGTCGGATGTTTTTCACAGTTCGCTTTTGGTGCAATTAGACCTATTATGTGATATTCAGATTATAAACATAAAGTGTTTTCAATGTAATCCTCGATAAATATCCTCCATAAATATTCTTTATTTTATATATTTTTCGGATTTAAGGTTAAAACGCTGATTGTTTTTTTTCATTTGATGTCAATGCCCTTACACTGTGCTGTCACTGTATAAACAATTGTCCTACCTGACTTGGAGACACACGTGACTATCTCCCCCTGGTGGCGGGGTGAATAAAACATCTGTTTGACACTCTCCATCCTTAGAATTAACAGGGAATGGCATTGCTGATGTGCTACCAGATGTCAGAAAGCTGGGGAAAAGAATTAGTTTAATATCAAGTCCGGAGTTTATACAATTTAAGATTTCGCTTGGATAAGTATGCTTATCAGAATATCACCGAGAAGAGACAGCTTGGCAACTTCTGGTACTGATATATATAATAATACTTTTTAAATATGTAAAACTAGATACCAACGCATTTTCTTTTTATCATTGGAATAGAAATCGGATATGTTGAAGTTTATCTTGAATCCCGACGCAGACAGCAATATTCCAGGTGTATCACGGTGGCCAGCAAACAAAGGGGTGCAGGTCAGTTTTTTACAGCATGAGCAAAATATCCCAGCCATCATAACTGCCCGATCCATTTTAGGTCTCTTACGATAGGGGGCGGTCGGGTAGCCTCGTGGTTAAAGCGTTCGCTCGTCACGCCGAAGACCCGGGTTCGATTCCCGACATGGGTAAAATGTGTGAAGCCCATTTCTAGTGTTCCCCGCCGTGATATTGCTGGAATATTGCTAAAAGCAGCGTAAAACCATACTCACTCACTCACTCTTACGATAAGCATAAGGCCTAATAAGTACAGTGAACTACGCTGTACTCTGCCCGAAAACCTCAATTATGAGTGGAGATTCATGACGATCAGTATCTGAAAAAATGACAAGTTTGAAAGATATAATCGCAAAATATGACAGTCTCACCAATTTCCAGGGGGATGATCTTTAGAGTGGAAGATGGCGTGACATGGCTTGTCGACGTAACAGTTGACAATGCTGCCATCTGGTAGTGAAGGCTCCAAAAATGCAGCAGTCTGTATAGATAAAAAGGTGTCTGTGCTGACATATTGATCTCATGCTCGAATAATGGTATCCTCCTCATTAAGTAAATCATGTGTTTGCCATTTCCTTTATACGCTACTCGTGCTGTGTAGTCCTGTCTAAAATAAACATAATGGTTTTTTTAAACAATCGTTTGAGATTTTTAGCTTCATCCTATCAACACTATTGTAACAGAACTGACATAGTCTACGGGCAAATGGCACGAGTTTTCTTTCCATCTAATAAAATCATTTGGATGAAGTATTCTCAACAAATTATAAAGGCGAATCCTTTCTCGAGAGGCATCCTTTCATGATCTGGAACATGTTTAATCAATAATAAGAAATATACGATTATATTATATTTTTATCATTAATAGAGATTTGATACCATTGATGCAAATTAAATTTCCATTTACTGAAATCAAAACATGGACTTCGAACATTTCATTTATACACTTTATACTTACGAGTGCCGGCTGTTTTGATTGTGCTATGAAAGAAACAAATGGGGAGGCTTTTATTTCGAAAAGTATTGCACGGAATATAAAACGTTCATTTTAACATTATATACTTTAAGTGCGTTATTTTATAATTACTATAACAATATGCATTGTATATTACAGTACCTGGTCCTGGTGGCTTGGTGTGTATCAAGTAACAGATTCTGTCAGCATTCACGCTGAAGTTTAAATATATGTTACCGTTAGTAAAGATGGACTATCTATCAAGGTAATGCTGATCTATTAAACTTGTATAATCTTTTAATGTTACACAGTTGAAATCACGACGTGAGGAAGTTCGGAGGCAAAGTGACAACATTCGTTAACACACATCGAATGAATATAAGCTTTTTAAGACTGCCTCAATGGTGGTAGAGCGTCCGGCCGGAGAATGGAAGGTCCGAGGTACGATCCCAAGCCGTGTCATCCCAAAAGACGTATGAAGATGGTACTTGTTGTTACCTTGCCTGGGACAGGACATTAAAGGGCTAAAACAGGGACTGATGGGCTCGGAGTCAGTGTACTGTGTCTGAGTTGGGTATTCATGTTAAACCTCGGCATGGTATCTCAGTGGGCTAGCACTATAAAAACAGCATTAGTCCGGACTAGTATATGTCACACACGCATGCACGCACGCACGCTATATATGTGGAATAATCTTGGACGCGACGTTAAACCCCAATTCATATCACCTATCAAGTTTAGTCCCTTACCCAGTCCCGGCATCGACGCATACGCTTTGTTCTCCAGGGTTAGTTTGTATCACCGTCAAATGAGATGTTAGCGTCTTTTGCAGCCCTGTGCTTTTATCGGGTGTTGGAGTGTCCACACTGGCGGTTAATCCCGGTGATGTCGGACCGAGGGTAACTGGTGGAATGGTTCTGAAAACCATAGGCATAATACATTCACAGATGACAAACAGGATACAAAGTCATGTCATTGCTAGATACATTGTCATCATGACAGTTTAATGCCTTCCTTTTGCGGGTGGCGCGGATGGCCAAGTGATCTAAGGCATCCTACATTTGTATATCACTCTGCATCCCTCAGATGTGTAAAGATCTGCGTTGGTTCGAATCTCAGAATCGTCGGGATTGTGATTCTTGGTCTGTCAGAAACATATCCCTGCTAGTGGATTTCGATTGGCCTACGTCACTTCAGAACCTCCATCCACAAAATATTTATCTGAGACGTGTTTAAATCCAAATCACCCACCTTACTGACGTTATCCCAGTGTTATTCATATATCACATACACTCTTCAAAAAAAGAAACGCACAGGTAGAATGTGGTTCATTGAACCTGACACAAAAAATCCGGCATATAGATTGGATATATGTTATTGGAAAATGTTGGTCGCCTGATGTTCGACAAACGGTGCGTCAAAACGCAGCCATTTTCGATTTGCAATGTCTTAAACGGCATTGTTTTCACATTTGTTCAAAATGTCATGGAGGAACACAGTAAAGCAAAATGCACATGCAAGTTATGGCATTCCTTACTCGTGGTAGTGGCTATAAAAAGGCAAGCATAAGCCAATAATTTGTCATTCAATTGTCAACGTTTTTCAAGTTCGAAAATGCCGAGACTCAGCGATGCCGATCGGAACATCGCAAAAGGACGTATCAAAAGAGGGGAGTCGCAGTCTTCTGTTGCACGCTGCTTCAACGTCCACCACAGCATCATTTGCCGCCTTTGGGACCGATACACACACTTCAATTTCACTGCAGATCGTCCGAGAACCGGCTGACTAAGAGTTACAACCCCTGCGCGGGATCGCTACATTAGATTGTTCCACCTACGTCATCGCAATGCCACAGCTACGGAGACCGCAGGACGCATCCCTGCTTTGCGGAGGATATCGGACCAGACTGTTAGGAACCATCTTCGCGAGGTTGGAATCCGACCCAGAAGACCAGCTATCGTCCCTGTTTTGCAACAGATCCATCGACACGACGCTTGCGTTGGTGCCATACCTTACAGCCTTGGAATTGACGAGTGTGGTTTAGGGATGAATAATGATTTCTTCTTCACCGGCAAGATGCAGAGAGCGTGTTTATCGTCGTCGAAATGAGCGTTCAGCCCCACATTGTGTACGACAATTTCGGTGGCGGTAGCGGGGCCATATCCTAAATCACGAGATCTGACTTGGTTGTGGTGTAGGAAAATTTGACAGCAAATCGCTACATGAATCAAATTCTTCAGCTTCACCTCCTTCCAATCATTTTCCGCCAGAGGGAGCTGTTACAACAGGACAACGCTCCATCGCACACGGATCGTGCCAACATCAACTCTTGCCCCGGCCGTCGAGATCTCCAGATCTCAACCCAATCGAACACCTCTGTGATGAACTCGATCGACGTGTACGTCAACGTCAGAACACGCCTCAGATACTCCCACAACTGGCCAACGCGTTACAAGCAGAATGGCTCAGAATTCGGCAGGATAGAATTCGTACACTTATCCAGTCAGTGCCGAGGAGATGCAAAGCCGTGATTGCTGCCCGGGGCGGTCACACCAAATACTGAGTTCAGCGTAACCTTGTGGCTTTATGTGACATGACAATGAACATTTTTCAATGCCTTTGTACAACGACAACATGTGACTATCGAACTCCAAAACTTCATATTTGCATCTATGATATTAAATTAAATATATCGGCTTGATGAGGTAAATACATTTTCTAAAAATATACCCGTGCGTTTCTTTTTTTGAAGAGTGTATGTCGTTTAATGAAGAAAAGTCTCCAAATAACTAGGCAAATGGACATTTGGCATTTCAAAAGGGGCACCGATGTTTGATGTTACTAGTATATAATATATAACATTATGTATGAACAGACATTTCAGGTACAACGTGTTTGATTGATTAATTATTATGTGTGTGTGCTACACACCCCGAGGGAGGTTGACGAATGTAGAGTGGAACAGGACATGGTACACCGACAGTACACTGGATACCCCCGCCATTCAGCAGGGTTGGAGTTATAAAGGGTGACTGAAACATGTTACAAACGTCAGTGATAATGATTCAAGACAAAGATAATGACAATGTACACTGATGTCAGCATACACCTAAGTATAAATGTACACACAAATCCTATATATCGAAGTCTTCTATCAAGACTATCGGTTATAACGAACTTCTTTTAATCAAAAACCATCAATTGTATTGATCTCCTACATTCCAAACTTTGTGTTTCAAGAAGTATTGGTTTGGCATCATTATACAGTGTACATAACGCAGCTGGAATAATTAAAGTATGTTCTCATGTACAACAGTAACCTAATTCAACATGTGAAGAAGTTGTTCACAAATAAAAATCATCTTAAATATTTATTATTATTATTTATTTAAATTTTTTTATTGGGGGGGTGGGTGGGGGGTGGCACGGCGGGCCCAGTCGTCTACGGGGCTGCTATTCGCTGTGAGTTGCGTCCCTTGGGCACACCAGAAACCTATGATTGTGGTTTCGAATCCCGATTCGCCCCGATTATGTTTCTAGGTTTGTCAGCACCATACCCTTGATCGTGGGTTTACCTGAAGTGGTAAAACCTGCATCACTTGGGGCTTACCTCCCACATTAAGCTGACACGCCGTGATATAACTGGAATGCTGTTAAAAGCGGCCCACTCACCATTTTACAGTCACAACAGTGTTATTAATATACGAGTGAATGTTATCTCACTTCTTTATGTCCATTGTCTTTATTTATTGGTGTTCCGCCAGTTGATTTCTTATCTGTAACAATAACCATATACATAACATTCACACGTTCGTCAGTAAAAATAACTTTACTACATATGATCATCCAAAGATGCACCCTCAACAAATTTCAAGACGCATAATAAACATTTTATAATTTTGCAGCTTTCGGGATGACATATTGGTGTTCAACTAAAATAGTTTCCAAGAAATTGCTTCGCCTATTATTTGTATTTATCTGGCACTTGTTTTGTTTCTTTGGTTGCATGATTTGATTTAATGGAAATTTCTCGTTATTTCAATTATTTCTTTATTCAATTGACGTACGAGTTTCTTCTCGTGACTTCTTACAGTTATGATTATTATTTCGATTTTTTCTCTCGTTATTTCAAGTTTTCATTAAAAAAAGAAATTTCGACGTTTTTAATCGTCATTTCAATTATTTTCTTGAAATTTCGAGTTTTTTCTTCGTATCTTTGATTATATTCTCGTAATTTCGAGTATTATCTACCTCAAGTTTGCATTAAAAATGGGTATGTTAAATTTTTAAAATGACTTGAAATTACAAGAAAATAATTAAACTTACGAAAAGATAATCGAACTTATATAATAATCGAAGAAGTAACGAGAAAAAAAGGAAATTTCGAGTTATTAAAATAAATTTGATATAAGCGGGAAATAAGTGATCGAGAAATAACTTGATATTTAAAAAGATATAATAGAAAAAAAACGAGAAAATAAACGAACTAACGAAAAAATACCTCGAAATTTTGAGAAAAATATTTGAAATAACGAGAAAATTCGATTTAAAAAAAATGATTATGCAAACAAACTTGCACCATTAGGCCGAAGAAAACTAATCATTAACAGTCCTGGTTACACGAAGGGTAAGAAAATCTAAAAAGGTACAAAGACATTGTCTGTTTGTTGTTTAACGCGGCACAATATTTCAGCTGTATGACGGTGGTCTGTAAATGTTCGAGTCTGGACCAGACAATCAAGTGTTTTACATCATTAGCATCGATCTACGCAAGTGACATACGATGACATGCATCAACCAAGTCACCGAGCCTGACCACTCGATCCCGTCAGTCGCCTCGACAAGCAAAGTGATTCATGAACACATGCTCATGAATATGGAAAGGGTTTTGTCGCTTTTATTACGTATGTTTCTTTAATGGTATTATATGTTGTGCACTGTTATCACCTGTTTGGCAGAGAGGGTCACCATACCCCAGTGGACATCTACACACTGCTTTACTCTGTTCCACCACGCATACTCCCTGGTTGGCGCACACATGACTGGAGCAAAGCGGGTCAGCTGGGGAAATATGAATACACAGTAAACAACAGCTCTCGTATCCACATTGACAGAAAGTGGTAAATAATAGTAAATAATGCTTTGATACCATCCCTGGTATCATCACCATTTGATGGTGATTCATAAGCACATGTTCACGATATAGTCGGAATCGTATAATCGACTCTGCTTTTGGCAGATATTTCTTTCTTTAGTGGCTTCTTTTTTCTTTAAATGATACAGTACCAGATGTGTTGCAAAATCCTAAACACACTGACCGATGATATCAAATTGGCTTACAAGCAGTGCCTTGGATAGGAACATGTAGAACACAATGTAAAGGATTTTTTTTCAGCATTAACCAAACAATATAAACGTGCTATACATAGCAGGCGATTATAGAACTTAACTCACGGTTTTCACAATGTTGGCCAGAATGTCCCTTGTTGCACTGGCACTTAACATCTTCCACCAGGTCAATGCATATACCAGCTCCAGAACATGAGTCGGGTTTGCAATCATTTATATCTGTTTGAGTTTGAGAAACAAAACTTAAATGTTAAATAAACATAAGTTATTCTTGTGTACAAGTTTTCAATTAAGTTGATTCAAATTGATTCTGATTTACTTACAGTAACGGGGATACGGGTGAACTAAACGTATATATAATGCACCACAATTCACTGTCCTTCAGGCGAACCAGAAAGCTGTGTTCGTGGATTCGAACGCCAGATTCCACTGATTATGTTTCTCGGATTGTAAGCACAATGCCTGTGTTCTTGGACTGCACTCTAAGACCTAAGACTTATATATACGCTATTTCATACGCCACAGTGCTACACAGGTATGGTCTGGCGACAATCACGTACACTATATGTTACAATAAAACATATTCTTGTATCATTGCTGAAGGAGAGTCTAATAGTTTCAATCAAACACGTGTATCCGGCATTGTCTAAAAGTCGGGCCGGGCCAAAGTGTTACTGGCTAATTACTTCATAATCGGCGATCATACCTACATATAGTTGATCCAACATACACACATGACATTAATGAACAATCACCAAACGAAAAAGTGCACCATAAATAAGTAATTCGGAGTAAATCGCTTGAAAAATCGATAGAGTAATCACTAAACTCCAAACAGGACACACCAACCTAAATAGCCACCTCAAAAAAATTAAAAAACACGCAACAGGAAACTGCCCACACTGCAAACACCTAGACACCCCAGAACACGCACTCATACACTGCACCCACTACCAAACACACCGAGCTCCACTACAAACAACCCTCAATATAAATAAGGCTCTTACTCTAGAAGCAATCCTAAACCCACAAAATAAAATAGAAAAATTTAAAGCCCTAGGCGTATACTTAATTAAAACAGATCGAATTAAGCGCACCTGGGTTGACAAAACTTCTCTCCCCCCTTTCGGAAATACACTAAATGGCCCGGCCGGGCCCGTGTGCGAAATACGCTAAAAGTCGGAAAGCGCACGTAAAATCTCAAATGTAAGTAAGTAAGTAAGTACTTTACATAGATGCATTTTGATTCAAACTCAATTAAATGAGCAAAACTATACGTTTCTGGACAACTGAGATCTGCATAGATGTGCACGTTTCGTTTTATTATTCTGCAATCCATTTTTAGTATTATCCCCGCTGGCCCGGCCCGGCCCGACTTTTCTTGGCCCGACTTATCGGCAATCCCCGTGTATCCATAGAAATGTGCTCACGACAGAAAAGCTGCCCCAAACGCTTACTGTATGTATTGTTGCAGAATATTTGCTAGATATAAACTTTCGAATTCTTATACTTACTTGTTTCACAGTTACTTCCAGTGAATCCCGATACGCATTGACAGTAGTAAAAATCTAGGTAGTTGATGCTGGTTAAACAGGTTGCGCCGTTTTGGCATGGGTTGCTCAGGCACTCGTCAACATCTGATGAATATTGCGCCAGTTAGAACACAAGGGATGGTGTAGATCTTATGTAATGATGCCGATACATTCTTTATGGCTATCGTGTACATGCGTACCATGACCTTAATATAAGTGCACACAATTACATATAAAATACATTTGATAAGCACTGAATAAAAACATCATCTTGGAAACTTTGCATTGACGATATATAATGCGAAAAATTTAAAAGACAATATTTATATCAAACCATTTTAATGAGAGGATGGTGGTGGTATATTGCTGAGCGGAAATTAATTGTAACAAGTTATTAATAATTACCTATATCACAAAACTCGCCAGTGTATCCGGGTTTGCAAATACATTTGAAGGTTGAGCCGTTGCTTTCACATGCGCCGGGCGTGCATGGATCTGACTTGCAGGGATCTACAAAAAGGTAAGTTAATTAAACCTCCCACAGATGACATATGAATGCTACTATTCAATGCAGTTCATATGGCATAGCGTTTTATACCCTACTTTTTTGTTAACAATTGTACATGATGACAAGTTACAAATAACAGAAGTTTTTATTATGTTACATAAACACATTTTCCTTCAAACATAGAATATACAGACGTTTTATTATTGTCATAACACTGTCGTCACAGTGCTTCTGAATCAAATAACCAAAATATATGATAAAGAATTCAGATTTTGTCGCTGTTAAAACCTCCCTAAATACAGTGAGATCAGTATCATCAGAGTAATATCAACATAAACTGACCATCAATTTCCATAGTGACCCCAAGGCATTTCCTCTCAGACGTTGTCCTGTAAAGTATTTATATTTTGTTTGTATATAATGGAATGTAAATATTGTATTCTCTAGCGTACACCATAAACGTGAATAACATTTGTAGATACCAATGACTCGAGATAACAAATATAGTGCTTTCTATAAGTGTTAAATAGATTTATGGTTCTCCTTACCCTTGGTCGTCATACGCCTGGAAACATATTCTTTGTCCGCCAACCTGATCAGATGTTATTGTTACATCAGTCTCAAACATTTCTTGTATATTCTTGGTCACTTTGACAGGTGACGAAATTTGCGTATTCTTGAGAGTCGAAGTTAAATATTTCACAGATTGTATTCGTCCTCTGCAAAGTACAAAGTTTTATACCATGAACTATTAAGATTAGTCTCTATATATGACATTCGGTATTTGATTAGATGTGTTTTGACTAACACTCGCCTGACATAGAAATCCTTCTGACTACTGAAAATCCGGATAATGTGTATATGATACTATTAGTGTAACGCTTAAGTCTATTTTTCATGGCATTATCATTTGCAGAAGGACCGCCCCCGTATTCTAGTGGTAGACCCTCCGCCCGATCTCAGGACGCGTCACACCAAAAGAGGTTAAAAGACTTGTTGTTACGCTTCCTGGCACTTAAGAGGCTAAAATAAGTCGGTTTGGAGTGAGTATAATGAGTGGGGTATTCATGTTAAACTTCGGCATGGTATCTCAGTGGGCTAGCACTATAAAATCGCATTAGTCAATACTAGTACAGGCAGTCAGATACACACGCACACGTTCATGCACGTCGCATAATGATTGCAATAATCTTAAACGAGACGTTAGTATTCAAATTATAATGGCGTCGTATATGGCAACGTGATTGATAGACAACGTCGTCAGGTAAAATGAGGGCACCATTAAATCACAGTGTGTAAAATCTAAAAGTAAACAAATTCAGCCAAGGCGTGTAACAAGAAATCCCACTTCCAGTAAGGTACGTGTAAACGTGCATACGATTGGACCTCATACACCGTCGCAATGGTTAATGCTACTTCAGATACAGGCAAGATTCCAATGATATCATTAAAAGGTGTCTTCGGAAGGCCTGTTGTGCGTTATCAACATATCCATTTCTTGATAGTAAAACACTTATAATTGTTTCGAAAACAGTTTCTGTTCCGGACCTGAGAGGTCATATATGACTTGAAACATATTATGTATTGAGAGACTTCATAGTTTGGTTTTAGAATATATATACGTTACAAACTACATTTACAAGAGAAATTGATTGTTTGCGTTATATTATCCGCATATTTTTTACCTTTATCAAAGCAATCATCTTACCCAGCGCGTCTAGTTGTAGAGTAAATAGGGAAGGAACATGTTGAATTCGGTAGGCACCGTATTACAATATCAGTGGGGAATAATGTAAAGAAGGGTCGAGTCTGAAAAGAAAGAAAAAGACATTTCTACAATCACTGGGCACATCATGTCCACAATATGACGTTTCATAGGTTCACAGCAATTCTACCACAAATTATTGTACATCTACCATGCTAAAAATATTATTTTCATTGGGCACATCTAGAAAGAAACATCTCATTGCACAGAAAACATCTGATATGCGCACGTCTTTGCACGGCAGCAAATTGGATCTACGTCCTGTTTTAGGCATTGTAAACAATGGTGTATAGTTATTGATATATCAATAGTGCATCAATACATCTCTTGATTTGTTTAGCATAGTTTTCAGAGTATACTTGAGTTGCATTCCTTAGGAGTGCCCGAAGCACCAAAGAGGTAAAATTCTATGATCTGCATCACTTCGGACTTTCTGACAGGCCTTGATACAACTGAAACACTGTTCAAATCGGCGTTGAACCCAACTCCCTCCTCATGAATATCATATTGTCGGGCCCTTCGGCACATAATATGAATTAGAGTGAGTGAGTGAGTGAGTGTGGTTTTGCGTCGCTTTTAGCAATATTCCAGCAATATAACTAAAAATGGGCTTCACCAATGTCGCGAATCGAATCCGGGCCTTCAGTGTGACGAGCGAACGCTTCAACCACAAGGCTACCCGACCGCCCGAAAATGAACTAGAACTATTTAATGGGACTCTATATACTTACCAACGTACCAACATCAGGAGTTGTGAAGTTAAGGTCTATACGAAACAGAGAAACATTATATCTGAATACAAACGTGAACACAGATGCACGATAGTTAATATTAGACTGAGACATTATATATAAAATGGAGATTATGTTGGTCACGAAGATGTACGTGGATTTGTTAATTTATCACAACTCATCGTCTTACTGTTTCACGCTTAGAAACTTATCTACTATCTGCAGACGATATTTCACCTCTGACAATGATGTTGTAACTCCTATCTTGTCCGTCATTTCTGAAAAATATAAAGAATATGATTGCTGAATAAAAACATGTTTCTAAAAAATATATATATAGAATGCATCCACATTTGATACTTCATCGGTTATATGATACGTGTTTTTCAATCATTGGTGAATGTCAAATCTACTTCAAATCGAAGGAGCAGTTGGCCGACTTAATATCATTCGACCGGCTTATTCACTTACGTCAGAGTCTACGATTTTTTTATATAGTTTTTGCACTTTGTAGTTTAATGCCACAATCCGCAACCTGCCTTCTACATAACAGTGGCCTGTAAATAGTCGAGTCTTGACCTGACAAACCCAGGATTGGAATCGTGAGAAACCATCCACGCCGTCGGGAAGAACGACATGTAGTCAACACCCGATCCATTAAGTCAACTCCTACCTGTTATAACTCGGAATTCCCATGGGTTCTACAAACTAACTAACTAAATAAATAACATCCAAGGTAACATCTTTGTAATGTTTTCTCCTCGGGAATCGTCAATTTGAACAATGAACAATCGAGTGAGGATCCATCAAGATAAGACGCACCGGTCACAGTTCCATCCCTTACGATTGGAGCCATTCAAATTTATTCCTCTTTATAAAAGTATTTACCAACAAACTACATTTATCAAGTAATCACTGAGCGGGTCACAAATAGATCATTTTGGGTACGCAAATAAAAATAGTCTATTTGTATGGCGCATATATCCATGCATAGTGCTTGCTCAAAGCGCATAACAATAAGAAGTCATTTGGAGACAGAAAGTCCAAAGAGACAGGATTTGAGTTGTGAGCTTAAAGTAGGCAGTTCACCGCAGTCACGGAGGTGTTCCAGGCAATGGCCATTGATTATGCAAAGGAACTGATTGAAAAGGAGTAGGCCACACCCGACTGACACTCACATTGACATAATCTCCAGCACTCTGGTAAATGCATCAGGCAACATTTTTGTCACTAATGCGTCAAATTTGGGAATGTCCTCCACACGTCTACCAAAGAGCTTTTTGAAAGCTTTACTCAGTCCTTGAATGTTGTAGCCCCCTTACCAAACATCGTTTGAGCAAGAGTCGTTTGACGCTCTTTGGAATCGTCAAGTTCAAGTACCTATTTCGACGTCGACCGTCAAGAAAGTCCAAACATGGTCTCCACACGCTCGTGTGTATGATAATGGACAGGCAGAGAGAGCCTCACATAAGGTCTCAGATTCCATAATTTTGACTTATAATGATTTAAAAAAAATTTGTGTCGAAAGTTCGTCCCCTATTAATGCAGGCGTCACACTGTCCCGAAATTAACACGAGATGGCCATACGGATATTGGATTTTAAATTTCGCGCGAAGATGGCCCCGAACTTGGTCAACAACCAATCAACAAGCGAAGCAAGTACGATGCCTACAGAAGGTCACACGATGGCATCCAGAAGTACTTTGTCTTTTCTCCGTGCCCCTGGGATGACATTCTGGTTCTGGTCCTCCAAGTCCATCAGGTTGTTGTGGGTGGCTGGATATCTCAGTCTGATGAGATTGTGAAGGATCAAACAAGTTGTGATTTTTCTGCATGTCTCTGGCCTCTGGTTCATGGTCCTCAGCAAAACTTGGAACTTGTGTGCCAGAATGCCAAAGCCATTCTCCACCACACGCCTTGCTATGGAGAGTCTGTAGTTAAATATTCTCTCATGGTGCTCCATGTTTCTGATTGAATACGGGTTCATCAGGCGCTTGTCATCACCAGGTAGAGACTTCTCTTCAGGGAGATTGAATATGTTGTTCGGACTCTCCAGGCCTTCCTTTAGTTCTGACCCATTGTAGATACTGGCAGCATTGCTGGAACCATCAGAGCCGACATCAATCCATAGAAACTTATAGTCTGCGTCGACCAGGGCAATGAGGACAATGGAGGAGAAGCCCTTGTAATTTCTGTACACAGAGCCAGTATTCCAAGGACAGGTGACCGCCACATGCTTGCCATCCAGAGCACCACAGCAGTGTGGAAATTGCCATCTCTTCTCAAACTGCTCAGCAATGGCGATCCACACTTCAGTTTTAGTAGGACACTGGATAACCTCAGCAGCAAACTCGGCTTTGATGGCATCGCAGACTTCATTAATGATGAGGGAGATGGTGTTTGGAGCAACTCTGAAGTTGTAGGACAGGCTTGGATAATTGTCACCACAGGCCAAGTGTCGTAGAGTGATGGACAGCTTGAGACCAGGAGGGAGAGACTTTCTGTACCATGTGTGCTTCTTCTCTATTCTGCCTTCTACCCTTCGCAGCATCTAATCGTAGAGGCCTCTGGGAAGTCTTGTGTAGTTGTAGAAGGCCTTCTCATCTTCTGTCTTCAGCTCATTTAGTAGAGAGCTATAGTGGTCATAGCGTTCTCTTCTTTTGTCAGACAGCCATTTCCTGACCCACATAGACCTCGGTTTCCTCCTTCGCCTCGGTTTGCCCCTGCCCTGGAAAATAAAAAGCAAAACAAGATAAGTACATTGTCGAATGCTAGAAAGGCAAATAGCAAGAAGTGAGGTGATATGGGGTTTAACGTCGCGTACCAGATTATTGTACTTATATAGCGACGTGCATGTACGTGTGTGTGTTTGTGTGGTTGCTTGTACTAGTCTGGACTGATGCCGATTTATAGTGCTAGCTCGCTGAGATACCATGCCGCAGTTTAACATGAATACCCCACATGAATGCCGACCAGTCCTCGTTTGAGCCCCTTAATGCCGAGCGCCAGACAGGGAAACAACAAGTACCATATTTTAACGGCTTTTGGAATGATGCGGTCGGGGATCTAACCCAGGACCTTCCGCTTTCCGGGCGGACGCTCTACCACTAGACCACGGATTCGGTGCAAATAGCAAACAATGACAAAGTGAGATAAGACAATTTTTACCTGTAAGAGGAGGTGCTGGGCCTGTAAGAGTTGCTTATCACGTTCTCTGAGGTGCATCAAAAGAAGAAATACTGCTGCCTTCTTTTTCCTGGTTGTCACATCATCAAAGTATGCCATTCTGCAGGAACTGAATTGTGATTAATTGTGATTGAAGCTTTGGGAGTTACACACGCCTCTGCTCTGTAGAGTTGCTCAGGACTGACTGAGGAAGATGCTCTGAGGCTGGCCTTTTACATGTCCACGTTACCATGACACATGGGAAACGCTTGAGCTACTCAAATTCGGCTGTCTTCGCCGACACCCTGGTCCCATCTCGATGTCATCGTACTATAATACGATGGCTACACGACGGCATTGCGAGGGCTTCACGTAGTCGTGTTGCCTTCCTAAGACAATCGGGCAGCTTCTTGTTTCCTTCGTATTGTCTTATTGGGCGAAAAATGCCCGATGGCACCGATGATCACACGAAGTAAAGACGAAGATGACACGATTTGACAAGATGCCTTCATGATGGCCTTACGAAGGGCAAAATGGACACACGAATTCAAAACGAAAATGAACCTTCGCAAGGTCTTTCGGCAATTTTTTGGCATGACAAAGATTTTGCCACGGCTTACGAAGTTGCTGCCGGAGCCTGAGATACTCCACCGGCGGTCATACGATGGCTTAAGATGCCCTCACGAACGGCCCGATGTTTTTACGATCAGAGCCGAATTTGAACATTTCCTTAATCGTGTGTCCATCTGGTGTCAATTTCGGGACAGTGTGACGCCTGCATTACAGAGCGACATTCTGTAAAGAGAAATCTACAGTGAAATAAAAGACTAACAGAACGACTAAAGCAGAATAATTCTCACCCCAAGTTATCCGTTACCAATGCACTGAGGACAAAGGTGCCAACATCCGCTATGCCTGGACGCCATTTCACTAGTGCATATTTGATGCCATCACTTTTGCGATTTGTGTCATATTGCAGTGGTGGTATAGGAAATGATCTCCTTGGAATTGATCTCAAATTGAAGATAGAAATCTCACTGGAATAAGAAATAATCCTCTTATTAAAAACATAATCGTTCGGTTACGTCGTCAGATGACACGCGAGATCCGGAAACTAGGTTCATAAGTATAGTGCCCCTTAAAGACATAGTGAGAATCATATTACGTACCTTTTGGCCGTGTCATATGGCTTAGCATAGAGAGGTATTTCCAGTGTTGAACCAACATAAACGTAGAACACATGTTGACGACTCTTTGTGGGGTCCACAAATTCGGGCTCCTCTATGATTTTCAGAGTTTGTATCATGAACTGAAATCATGAATCAGAACAAAATGTTATGATGTCGTCCACGGTCAAATGCCTGTTAAACTAACTAACGATGAGTTGCTTACCTGAACCATTATATCACTGAGAGACTGTGTTCCAACTGGTTTAACTGGACGCCAATCCCCCTTGAGGCTTATAGGTTTGGAGTTAAAGTCACTGATCTTAACAGGTATCACACCCCATCCTTGATCAAAGAAGTGATCAGATTCATAGGCACTGATTTCTATGCTGCAGTCCTAAAAAATAAAACAGAATCCAAATACTACCATCTGAGTCTATCAAAATTCAAGATGGAAAGCCACTGCATTAGTACACTACTGAACAAACGAATATATACATCGACTTGGATTGCTTATAAAAAGAAAACGACAAAATGTACACATATACTTTGAAAAATATTTTGAAGTTAAATCATATTATCAATGTCACTGGCACTTGTGATGAATTAGCAAGAAGCGATCAAACACATCGAGGATCATAGCATGTCAATAAAGGCATCAATAGATAGCTTCCAAATGTGCCTACAGTTTATAACAACATGACCTGGTCTGATGGTCAGGATGTAGGATACAACTTTGCAACGAATTTACTCATAGTTAATGAACTTGTCCATTGACCAAAGTGTAGGCAGTCTAGGAAATGGATAAAAAAGAGAGAACAATGCCTTTGCCATTTTTTTATGTTGTTTTATTCATCTGTCATTTTAGGTTTTGGTACAAAATAATCAGTGAATGATCAATGTAAACTTCTGAATGGCAATGAGAAATATTTAAATTCACAATATTTCTTATCATTGTGTCATGGTCAGTTGAATTCACAGACATGAAAGTTATTAGAGTCAAAGTTTGCAAACTATTTTGCTAATTAAATCAAACGTCCAGTCTTTCTTCTAATCACGCGAGAGTGAGATTAAGATTAATTTGTGCTCTGAAGTTTCACACTCAGATGATAAGCCTCAGCAGTGCAAACAAGATATACAGCCTCCAGCATCTTCGCAGGATTTTGCTGATGTTAAGTAAAACATATATAATTGTATTGTTGTATCTACTCAGAATAAGGATCTTATTCATTATGATACCCCTCTATATAATGAGAACGTATATTTTGGATATACGTCTTACACTTCATGAAATTGATGATACTTTCAGTGATCTGGCATGTTCCATTATTCTAAGAGGGGAGAAAATCATATCCCATTCTGTCTACTCTACTCTCTGTAGGCAAAATGGGATGTATATGTAGGCACAATGAGGCCTAACCCATGAACATCGTGTGTGACCTCCTCCAGACACGACTGGACACGTCGCTTCACCGATGACCTAAGCCTCCTGGCATAAATGGATATGGGGTCCCACTCCTCCAATAACGCACGTTCCTGCTGCTGTACGTTGTTCAGTACGTTTGAAAGTGTTTTTATCTGTCCCCGAAGATGACTCCAGAGATGCTCTATCGGTGAGAAGTCCAGTAAGTGTGACGGCCAGGGCCACGCGGGTACGTTATTGATATCCTTGATTATTCGAGCAGTTGGGCCTGACATTGTCTTGTTTGAAAAGTTTCAGTTGTGACTGAGAAAGGGAAAGACAACTAGCTGCAGAATGACATCCGTGTTACGCTTGGCGTTCAAATGTCCACGGATGGTGAAAGAAGTGCATCCTAGAGCCAATCGTTCACCTCTCTGTCGATACATCCGTATTTGAGTTGAATTGCCCACATTGCTAACCAGTATCAATCACATCACTGCCAACGATTTGATTTTAAATATTACTTTGTATTCATGACTCAATTATATATATATATTAACTTGTTCTCGTCGCTGTATGGCTGAAATAATGCCGATGCAACGTAAAATTTTAACTCACTCGCTCAATCGCTGCCAGCGTCGCACGAAGGAGACCAGTGACGTCTATTTGCCGATGTTGACGGCTCACGGACATTCTGCTGTGGGGTTCCTTAAGTACGTAACGGTAATGACAATGTGAGTCAACTGATGTGGCGTCCTAGTCCGTCAACGCCGCCGGGAAGCGTCACCCGCAGATGTAACGTGTGCAGATGGTGGTCCTCCACTTCCTGGACTTTCTCTTATTTGCCCAGTAGTCTGGCAATGGTCAGTTCGCTGCTTCAGTCAGCTACTCATTACCGCCATTTCAAGATCATTCTATATTTCTCGGCTGATATCCTTGCCATTTTTCCTCGCGCTCATTTGAACAGTGATATATTGGGCATTCACCCTCTTGTTTTCTGTACCCTCTGTGCTTTTTCATCTCACGATATCGTAAAAACCCGTTTTGTACAAATGCTCGAAAATCGTTTTTCTCAAATGCACGACGAGGGCTTCTTACAATAAGATGATTTTGGGTGTGTTTGAGCTATCGATTTACAACTTGGATTCAGTTTCCTTCGGCAAAGGTATTAACACCTATTCACTATCTATCAATGTCTACTTTCTTTTGACCGGCATATAGAAAACATCATGATACAATTAAGTCTGGCGTCTTCCATTATTAAATAGTTCACATGATCTAAAAGGTATGCATATACTCCTTTTCTACAGAGATATTTATGTTGAAGAAAATTTACTCTGAAGTGTATCTCATGAACATATTCAGTTACCTTATTTATGATCGTGTTACGTGGTATAGGTAGACCACCAGCTGTTATGAACGTTGCTAACTGACATTGAACAAAATCCCCATCTTTGTCCATGGTGGAGAGTTTGATGACGGTTACGCTGTTCAAGAGAATTCTGGAAGACATAAACTTATAATCAGACATTTATGCGTTTCAAAACTTAAAATCAATATTTGCTTAATAATGTATCTTTCAATGAACATCAATACACAGAACATAACTCCGTTTATTGTGTTTATTCTGATATGGGTTCACGATGTGTGAGTACTTGAAGGTATGCATACATCGATGACTGGAAAGTATTATATACTCTTTAAAAAAGTAGGAAACACTCAAAAATTATTCACATTTCCAAATTGTAAGAGACGTTAGTTTCTAGTAATAGTTATATAATAATAAGGAACGAATTGGGAACACATAACGACCGGTAGTGAAGTATGACAGTAAGTGTCATGACCGCAAAAGATCTTGAAGGACGACAGGGGTAAAATTGGAAACTTCAAAGTTGATGTTTTTGGATCAGTAGTGCGTAACCCCGCCACGATTTGTCAAACATTCCCCCACAATGGTGAGGGGGGTTGTCCCACTCCTCTTGCTGCGCCTGGCTAAGTTCAGTCAACGCTGTCGGTGGCCTATCACATTGACGCACACGACTCCCTATCATGGCCCAACCATGTTCAATGGAGAAAGGTCTGGGCTCATTGCTGGACATGTTGCTGGAGGTGAGCATTGGTAATTCTTGCACGGTGAGCACGGATGTTGTCGTCCTGAAAGACAAAACGTCGCCCCACACGCCTTGCAAACGGCACAACAAAGGTTGTCAGTATATTGTCCAAAAGATAGTCCCCAGTGACCATTCCTTGCACTATATGGAGTGAGGTTCGCTCAGTCACAGTGATGCCACCCCAAAACCATGACCGCCAAATCTGCAATGATGTCTCAGGTTGACATTGGTTTGATGTTCTTTTCGACGTCGCCCGACAGGACCACACCAATCAAAGTGAATCGGGACTAATCTCCTCTGAAAACATGACACGTGACCAGCAAGAAGCTCGATTTCGCAGTGTCTTGTTTCTGATCAATCGATCCTGTACTCTTGTTGTTGACCTGGGACGCCCTGAAGGGGGTCGATCGGCAATAGTTTGGGTTTGTTGGCACCCGATCCATTGTCTGCTCATCACAGACTGAAACATTGAATGTATTGGCCACTGCACGCAGGCTTCTGCTAATTTCAAGCATGCCAATAACCCGTAGATGCTCCGCTGATGCTGTATGATAATCAGAAGATTGACAGAAATAATGGTCCACAGAAATTAATCGACCTTCCGTGAAAGTGTCAAAATCTGGAATGGCAGCCAAAGCACGTGTGTGAAGCTACTGCGTGAGGCACGTGCAAACTATAGGATGTGTTGTGGTGTTTAGTTTCACAGACAAAACGTTTTGACGTTAACACTTATCTTTGTTCTCATACTTTGTATTAACATTCCTATTACACGATCCCCTACTTTCTGAAAGAATATAGTACGAACATTGTAATATGGACCATGAGAGATTATGGGAGCAGTTTTTTTAATGCCATCGAAGGGCGCATTTCATATTTGGAAAAAGACCGATCAGTTATACTTAATGAAGCACACTATATTAGTATTGGTTTACTTGTATGTAGGCTTAAACATCGCAACAGGGCTGTTGTTCGGTTGCCCTGTATCACTGCGTTCACGTGCATCAATCTTGACTTGAAGGTGAAAATTTGTGTCGCCAGTGTAACCATAGTCAAAGTCTTTCCAGTAGTAACCGTGCATCCTGTTGATATATTAAGTTGGAACGGACACATGCATTTTTTCTATGACATTAAAACAATTTTTATCAAATACTTCAGTGTGAGTTTTCTAAAGTTGAAAAAAGTGTTATTTTCTTTGTCATGAACATAACACTTGACCAATTTACTGTAGTGAACATAACAGTTGATACTTGACTGCAGTGAACGTAACACTTTAATGGAACTATTGTCATACAAGGGTTACCTCCCCTTATATTGTTTCCCTGAATCGTAAGTGTCACGCCCGTACACAACATGATTTTTCACTCGACACATAAAAACATCCTCTCTATATCAAGATACAATCATTTTGATAACAATAAACCCATGGTGTTTAGAAAAATATTATTTCCTTCATCATACATGTATTCTGATACATTATATGGACGTATGTACATCGAATCAGCACTTGTATCCCCATACTATGGAATCCTAGAAGGGACATTGTCGAGTTGTCGCATCGTCGACCTTACAACAACAAGCAAAAAGTGTAAAAAATAACCAAACCTCGACAATGCGACATGTTGGCCATTTTTAGCATTGTCCCGTTTCCGCATTGTCCTGATTTGAATAAGAAACATTATTTAACCAAAAGGCGACAAATCATCATAAGAGGCCAGCATACAAGTGCGTGTACCAATGTTGGGAATCAAACCAAGTGCTTCGCCTTATTTATTCAGTCGAAAAAGTAAAAATTCAAATCATGGGGAACATCATCATCCGATTACATATGAATGCATGCAATATTAGCCAAATAAAGATGCAGAAAGATTTTTTCATCGGGTCGACTTTGGTCGAACAATAGATTGAGCTCTGGTGCACGTCATCTTAAAATATAGTCGTACGTTCACCTTCTGAACTACCAGACAGACGTAGTATAATATGTAATAATTTGACATCAAATAACAAGCTGATTATACTTACTCAATATCTGTATAAAGTCGTAATGGATCGACTTCGAGAATGACCTCCGCTTTTTCCTGTTCCAACCCGAGGGGCACATTTACGGCTGCTACTTCGCCAGTGAGTCTCTTGGCTACTTTGTTAGTGATCAGACTGTAAGTGACGCTTCTATTCGGGAATGCAGCCTCCGAACTCCAGTTTCCAAAATATACATCGCCATTCATGTTTAACATATGATTTCGAGTTATAACTGTGCTCCTTCCGACGTCATTGATCGAACAGTGTTCGCCACAAGGTCCTTGACCCAACGTCCACCCGGTAACAATCGTTAATTGGATCTGGAAGAGGGATATGTTTAGAAACCTGATCGTTTGATCATATTTTTCAATTTGAAGAAAACGGTCGGTCACCGTGCATGTTATGGCTAACTGATTCTTTAACCATTGACGTAGGAAGTTTCTACAAATGAAAATTAATTCAAATATCAGTCTCTTACATTCCCTTTAAAGTAAGTGAGTGAATGAGTGAGTTGGGTTTAACGTCGCTTTTAACAGTATTCCAGTTATATCACGGCGTGTCAGCTTAATGTGGGAGGAAAGCCCGAAGTGATGCAGGTCTCAGACGTTTACCACTTCGGTGAAACAAATGGGCACGGGTATGATGCTGACAAACCTAGAAACATAATCGGGGCGAACCAGGATTCGAACCCACAATCATAGGTTTCTTGCGTACCCAAGGGACGCAACTCTGCACAGCGAATCTCGGCGCCTAAGACGACTGGGCCACCCGTGACTCGGATATATGTCGTTAGTTTGTGCAATATTTTGCGGAAGGGTAATAAAAACAGACTATCAAGAATACTTTCGTGCAAATATGTATATGCGGCCTCGAGATGTACATCTCATTTATAACAACATAAAGACCGCCTCCGTGGTCTTGTGGTAGAGCGTCCGCCCGGAGAGCGGAAGGTCCAGGGTTCGATCCCGGGCCGCGTCATACAAAAAGACGTTAAAAGATTGTACTTGTTGTTACCCTGTCTGGCGCTCGGCATTAAGGGGCTAAAACAAGGACTGGTCGGCTCGGAGTCAGTATACTGTGTCTGAGTGGGGTATTCATGTTAAACTGCGGCATGGTATCTCAGTGAGCTAGCACTATAAATCGGCATCAGTCCGGACTAGTACAAGCAGCCACACACACACATACACGCGCATGCACGTCGCTATATAAGTGCAATAATCTTGGACGCGACGTTAAACCCAATTTCACCTCACCTCACTATAACAACATAAACGTGATTATAAAGCCTATACCTTATACTCTGTTGGTTTCGATGTATTGACGAACTTGAAGCTCATTGATCCTCCTGTAAAGTGTTTAGTCTGAGCATCCACACCCAACAGAGGCATCAGAATCAGGAGAAGAGACACCAAATATTCCGCCATGGCCCCCTCTATCATGATAGTTACACCGTGTGTAGACTGCAGTGTATCACATTCCTAACTTTCCATGTACCAGACCACCTGAAAGAAAATCCATCTGTTAGTTTTGGGTTAATAATTGGTCCCCGCAACCACCGCTGGTTTGAAAAAGCGAGTTAAGGCCCCCCAAAAGTTTAAAGTTCATGGTCTTTGGGTTTTCCCCCTTTTTGTTGTTGCTGACAAGTTTATTTACATACTATAGCCCATCTTCGCATTCCGAGGAAAAACGTTGTTGTCTCTGCTATTAAATTACCTCTTTTGCAGCAACTCATAAATGTACAATACAGTGATGTCTAAAATGCACTCGAAAACCAAAAAGGGCGTATAATATTACACACACACACACACACACACACACACACACACACACACACACACACACACACACACACACACACACACACACACACACACATACAGTTGTACAGACACGAGAGGCACCGTGCGAAATATCCAGTTGATACTTGGATCTGTGGAAAAACATGTTAAAATAATCCACCCTTGGTTAAAAACAAAGGTGCACGCGGGGGTTGAAAATGACACTGGTGAGTGGGCATGATGGATCGGGTTGTCAGACTCGGTGACTTGGTTGATGTGCCATCGTGCCCCGAGCGTGGGTCGTTGTTCATAATGTTCATCACTGGATTGTTTAGTCTGGACTTGATTATTTGCAGGCCGCCGTAATACAGCTGGAATATTGCTGAGAGCGCTGTTAAACAACAAACGCACAGACACAGATACACAGACACACAGGCACACACACCAGAAGAAAACATGCATCTGTTGGTACATATTTGTATAAATCGGCTTAGACATGGGTACTTTTGTGATGTTACATGAAGGTAATATAACCAGATTACTATTATCTGCCAACAACACAAACGTTGTACATGTAGTGTCCCATAGGAATTATGCTGTTTCTATGCTTGAAGATCTGTCCTCTTTGCTATTCTAGCATGTTAGCATATGGTGTATCGCAAAGTAAGAACATCTTGATTTACTGCAACTAAGTTTTTACATTTTTTAGAATAGGGAAGGCATAATAGTGAGTGTATAACCTACATAATATCGCAACAAAAAGAATATTATAAAATATGTCCATGATATATTCACCTTGTTCCTGATCATACGCTGGTCAACAATGATGTATAAGGGCGACGCTCTCACCAGCGGTAAATGTATGGCCCAGATCATCGATGGACAATATAAAGCACCAGATAACTCACTCCTTAACAACACAGGAATAAAGGTAATATTATTACTGTGCCTTGTCTCTGTGGGGGGCAACTTTACGCCCCTATCAGTCTAGTTGTGTAAACTTAAACCTCCTACGATGCACGCTTCATGTCTTTCAGAATTATAAACTCACTTCAGCCGATACTCAGTGACAGTCCTACTTCCAAAATTGTGGCAATACTTGGTACAATAGAAATGTAAAGAAAGATCCGATTGAACTTATTAAAGACGAAGTCATCACAGTGACAGACATCTAAAGACTTTGATAATAAATTACATCCAACGAACAACGATCGATCAGGTGTTTGCAAACATAATCGCCTCGTCACAAAGTTATTGCACGTATAGGAGGGACTACAGTAGACATGATAGCAACTGAGCCACGTGTTAAAACATCTTTATGGCTAGATATATACATATCTTCGACAGTATTCACAGTTGACTTTGAATGCGTACTACTGTTTTTATTTCCTTTAATGTGTACAACCGACCAAAACCCGGAAACTGGTGAAATGAGAGTGAAAGGGTAATAACGATAAATGTCTTAAAATAATGTCGGAGATCTGGTGTGTCCACCATACTGGGCGACACAAGCACGACACATTAATGGCATACTGTTGATAAACTTGTGCATGGTTATCCTTAATATCCTTAATATTGCACGCCATTCAGCCTGAAGAGACACCCAAGCTGGGCATTGTTGGCGGGTGCTGGGTCTTTGGCGTACACTCTCCGCCCGAGAACATCCCACAGATGCTCTATTAGGGACATGTAAGGGGACTTAGCGGGCCCGTCCAATGTCCGTATGCCTCCTCGTCAGGAATAATCGATGACGACACGAGTACGATGTGGTTTGACATTGTCATCCTGCAGTTCAAAATATCTGCCGATAATTCTAGCGAATGGCGCAAGGACAAGACGCACAATTTCGTCGACATATCGTTGGCCGTTCCAATGTCCATTACCAATAACCAAATCAGTTCGCGTGTCATGTCTGATACCGCCCCATATCATTACACTACCGCCCCCATACCGATGAATGTGGCAGGTATCCACTTCATACTATTTATTATGTAAAATGCGTTAAATATTGGCTTCAGAAAATACAAATGAGTCCAAACAGATACACATATCTGTGTTATTAAATGTTATTATCCAATACTGATAGAAAACGTCCTAACTGGGCATCGCATATCAGACTAATGGTTTTGGGGATGTATGGGTTGCACAAAGCGTTGGCAATACAGAATAATTTGTACATGTCTGTCGCAGTCTGCCTGCCTGCTGCCTGTCTGTCTGTCTGTCTGTCCATACCGATCATGGTCAAGAATTGTTGCCCTGGCATACCACTCGCCGCTACGTCGCCAACAGCGTTTTATACTATCATTCAAATTGAAGGACAAACCTTGATTCGTCTGCAAACGGGGTGTAACGCCATTACCGTATCTGATGTTGCCTAGCCCACCCCAGTCCTTGCCGCCTGTGGCACAATGTAAGGTGTTAGGTTCACACCCTTCACAGGCCGTCATATAGCTGGAATATTGCTGAGTGCGGCGTTAAACAACATATAAACTCTTCACAGGACCCCTTGCTTTCAAACGTAACGGAGCTGAATCTATTGCGTATTGCAATTAATGTCGATTTAGAGACGTGTTTGTGTTGGTATTACTTATTTTAGGCCTGCTACGCCCAGGTCTCATTGCACACCCACTCGTTTGAGGGTACTTGTCCAATAATGGAGAAATCTTTGATTTTCGGGCAACTGGGGAAATTGACGTCCCCCCTCCCTGTTACTCACAATAAGCCATATTGCCTGTTCATTGATATACTGTCTCGGAGGCATTTTTTAGCGTTTGGTTTTGTGTGTACGTGCTTCTCGTGCTGTTCATGTATGATGTGAAATTTCATCGTGATTAAATGTTGCGTTCAGATGGAACGCCACGGTATTGTAAATGTACACCTCAACGATAACTACATTCAAATATTTGGTTCCCTTAACTTTTGTCGGTAGTACTTATCTGTAGAGCGTTAGAGACGCCACAGTAAAATCTCCAAATGATCGACGATAATCACTATAATCTGTCGCGACGAGGATCAGTCGTGATATAAACATATTCATTTCCATAAAGTGGAGGGATTGGCAAACAAGCAAATTTTGCTTATCTGAATGCCTCTCCCAAACATAATACATATACAAATAGCAATGTATTGAAAGTGACATGAGAAATAGCATACATTGTATAATTGACTTTAAAGATAAGTATTGTTCTGTAAGTGTTTAATTACTGGATTATCTTCCACAACATACAGTTACATTATTATTTACATTCAGCACAACAACATCGCAGTATCATATAGCAAAGCCAACATCTCAGACAAAATCTCTAAATCGGCAAGAAGATAGAATAAAACTGTGGACCGATTTCAAAATTTCAAGATTTGTTACTGTCGTTAAATTTAAATTTATTTACCATTTAGAATTGAATTTAAATCGTAGCCTTTTACGAAATAATACATGTTTTGCTTTACTGTACTGTTAAAGGGACACGTAAGAAAGAAATGAAGTGCATCTTCCGTATGATAGCAACAACAACATCTCGGGCTGTCGGATATAAATCTGGCACATTTGTCGGCGTTAAGATCACTGCAGCCAAGCCTGAGACGGGAGTGTATAACCTGACAAGAATCTTGATCCATAATTTGTATCAAAGTATATACCATTCCTATCGTTGCTTTTTATAAAACTTTTAAAACTTCCTAAGCTACTGGCATTGAATTGGTGTTTTCAATAGGTAGTGAGTTCCAAATATTAACTGTATCTGGAATAAATGATTTGGCATAAGTATTTGATTTACACTTTGTGGTTTGCAGCTGTGAGCAGTTTCTCAAATTATAATCACTTGCATCCGACACTCTATTTGGCACTAAGGATGAGAGATAGTCCGGTACTAGATTGTTAACCATTTTATAAAAAACATTTAACTTTTGAAAATGCCTTCTTTCTTCTAATGACGTAAGATTTGTTTCTTTATAAAGTTTACCGTGACTTGTGCCACGAACAGCCCCCCCCCCCCCCCCCCCCCCCCCAAATAGTTCTGAGTGCATCTAGATTTAGTTTTTCAAGTAGTAACGCCTGTTCTTTTGTGCAGTTGTCCCATATGTGGGAACAATAATCAAATATCGGTAATATGAAAGATTTATACATAGTTTCCAGTGTTTTTTCTATTTAAACGATACTTGAAACTCCTAAGACAGTTAATCACTGGACTGACTTTCTTGACTAGGCTATCGTATCTATGTGATCGTTCCACATACAATCTTCTTGAAGAGTATGTCCTAGATGTTTATGAGAATGAACTTCCTGAACAGTAGTGTTACTCATTTTCAAAACTGGTTTTACATTTGGAAGAATCTTCCGGGAAAACTGGATAGATACTGTTTAATTAGGGTTGAAATCGACCTGCCAGTTTTCTGCCCAAGAGCATATTCTACTTAGATCGTTAATCAGACAATGTGCTGCTGTATTCGGGTCATTTACCACGACATATAGGGATGTGTCACCGGCAAACAATCTTATATTACTATCAATATCGTCTATAATGTCGTTTATGAAGATTAGAAACAGTAGCGGTCCTAAAACTGACCCTTGTGGAACTCCGGCCGTAACTGGTCGTAAGTCTGAACTATACCCATTGATAACAACCCGTTGGCATCTATGTTTTAGGTAGCTTCCAAACCATCTCAATAATTTCCCTTCAATATCATAGGATTTGAGTTTATGGATAATGCCTTTGTGCCAGACTTTATCAAAGGCCTTACTAATGTCGCAAAAGACTGCTCTAATTTCTTTTCCTTTATCCAATTCTCTAGCAATAAAATCATATAAGTAAGTCAGCTGGTTAGCGGTAGAATCTCCTGGCATGAAACCTGATTGAAGATTTGTAAGCAAATTATTATCTCTTAAGTAATTAAAAACATATTTGAAAACGCATTTTTCGAATATTTTAGCCACGCAACACGTGAGAGCTATAGGTATATAATTACTACATTCATTAATATTACCTTTCTTGTAAATAGGCACAACGGAAGCTTCTTTCCAACTTACCAGAAAAGTAGACTTATCCAGGGATACATTAAACAATTTAGGCAGTGGATATGATATCGCTGAAGCACTAAATTTCAATAATCTATTGCCGATACCGTCGGGCCCTGTTGCTTTAGTTACATTAACAGATAGGAGAACATCTTGAACTTCCTTTGTTGTTAGAATGATAGTAGAGAGCGATTTTTCTGTTTTAAGCTTAATATAAGGGAGAGTTTTATCAGGATATGTAACAGATGCCTGGTCAGAGAAATAATTGTTCATCACATTTGCAACATCTCTTGTATCATCATATAGTACATCCCGGTAATTAATGGGAGGAAATTTTGTATTACTGGTGCCCCTTAGATATTTTTTAACAAGCCGCCACCATACTTTTTCACCGTACGCATCATTAATTTTACTATCAATCTTGAGTACATATTTTCTCTTTGCAGTGCGAACATAGGAGATAACACGGTTTCTTATTTGACGAAATTTAGTCCAGTCAGAATCTAAGTTACGCTTTTTAGCAACCTTATGAATTCTGTTACGTTTCCTGATCAGTCGACGTATCTCACTAGTGATCCATAGTGGATCATTAGGTCTAATTGTTACACATTTGTTAGGAATATGATTATTACATACGTCAGTAATTGTCCGGGTGAAACATTCTGCCATAACGTCAACATTTCTGGATGATAACAAATGATCCCACTTTGTCTCAGTTAAGCTATCATTATTTCTTCATTATCAGCTATGTTGTAATTATAGATTTTTCTTTTAAAATTTGCATTGCCAGGTATGTTTGCCTTAATTGTTTCGAATATAGGACAATGATCACTACATATAGGATCGGATACACCCGAACTCATCACACTGTCTGCATTAGTTACGAACAGTAAATCAATCAGAGTTCTGGAGGTAGGTGTAATCCTGGTGGGCTCAGT